CTCTGGACCATGTTTAGATCATGATTCAGACAGCCAACGGTAAAACATGTCGGGGACATTTGGTATCATTCGAATGTGGGTTGGGTATTAATTTGTATTTGGGCTTCATTATTTTTTTAAAGATTTTATTTATTTGACAGCACAGGTAGAGGGAGAAGCAGGCTCCCCACCAAGCAAGGAGCCCGATGCGGGGCTCGATCCCATGACCCTGGGATCATGACCCGAGCCGAAGGCAGACACTTAACTGACTGAGCCACCCAGGCGCCCCTTCGGGCTTCATTATTAATTTTGTTAGGCGAGATAAGGGCATGGTGTTTATGCTCTTTTTTAAATAGACTTTATCCATTAGAGATGTATACCAAGGTGTTTATGGGTAAAATGTTGTGATAAGGGATTTGCTTTAAAATATTCCAGGAAGGGGAGCCTGGGTGGCTCAGTCATTAAGCGTCTGCCTTCGGCTCAGGTCATGATCCCAGGGTCCTGGGATCGAGCTCCGCATCGGGCTCCCTGCTCGGCGGGAGGCCTGCTTCTCCCTCTCCCACTCCCCCTGCTTGCGTTCCCTCTCTTGCTGTGTCTCTCTCTGTCAAATAAATAAATAAAATCTTTAAAAAAAAGTATATTCTAGGAAGAAGAGTGTCAGTGGGGGAATAGGGCGTAGATGTAACCATATTGATAAAATATTGATCGTTGTTGAAGCTAATTGATGGGTAATGGGGCTTAAGATTCTTTTTTCTACTTTTTATATAAGTTTAAAATTTTCTGTAGTGAGAAGTTTAAAAGACTAAATATAAAATTATCATATAATTATTGTAGAAGACTTAAAAAAAAAAGACAAAAGTTCAAGAAAGTAAAGAGAACATGATTCCACCAGCCAGACATATCTGCTATTAACATTTATATTTTTCCAGTCTTTTTCCCATGTATAAATATATACATACACAATTTTTAAAAATATCAAGGTCACTCAGCATCTAAAATGTCTGAGTTGGTATGTTAGTCTTTCCATGAATATCATGCTTAATAGTTCTCAACATCATGGTGGTTCCAGAGCATTTCAGCGTATAGACGTATCATGATTTACTTAACTTTATCACTGCTATTGGGCTTTTAGGTTGTTTCTTTTTTTTCTTTTTTAAAGATTTTATTTATTTGAGAGAGACAGACAGAAATAGCAATAGAGATAGTGAGAGACAACACAAGCGGAGAGGGCAAAGCAGACTCCCCACTGAGCAGGGAGCCCGATGCAGGGCTCGATCCCAGGACCCTGGGATCATGACCTGAACCAAAGGCAGATGCTTAATCGATTGAGTCACTCAGGCGCCCCTTTTGGGTTGTTTCTTATATTTTGCCCTTGTAAACATGAGCATCACTGTAGGTAAATGATTGTTCATATTCAGATATAATCGTTTGGGCCACACTCCTAGAATTGGAGTCACTGGGTCAGAAAGTACATGCAGTGTACAGTTTGATACAAATTGTAAGTACCCTTCGGAAAGGTGGTACCATTTTGTACCTCCACCAGCAGTAAAAGGGAATGCCTGTTTTTCTGTACTTGCAAAGTCAGAGGACAAACAGGTTCAGACCAGGAGCGAATACACGGAGTGGTGAAGGGTAACTGTCTTACAGAGGCATCTCTGACTCTGACGTTGGATACCTTATTGCTGGGGCGTGTAGGGGAAGGCAGGGTTAGCCGCAGTGGGCATCTGTGTGGTCACGTAAGCTTATGTTCTATCTGTGAAGGGGCTTGGGCTTAAGGAGAGCCCTAGTGTCTCTGGTCCTGCAGGGGAACCCTCGATCTGGCCCAGAAGCCTGCCTGAGGCTTCAGATCAGTAGTATATATTGTGCACGTCATTCTCTAGTTTTTACGATGTCATGTCTCTTAGACACTTTCCATAAAGGGCTTGGCCTGTGTTCAGTGTGGTACTTCCTTGTCTAGGCATCCTTCTAGACAAGATTGCCCAGAAGGTCCCCTTTTGCACGTCTTTGAAGCTCAACACACCTTCCAGCTCTCAACCTTGCTTCAGTACCTTTTGGGTTATTTTGGTATCACAGCATGCTCATCAGTGTTGTTTATTGCAAAATCTCCAGTGTGTTTACATTTTCAGGCTTTCACACAACAGTTGTTTAACACTGATCTGGAACTGCCAGTTTATATTTATGTATGTGCTTACATTCTGTCTTCCTTATTAGGAAGGAAGACAGAATGTAGTGCCTTGTTAGTGCCTTGTTCTGTGCCATCTGTCAGTGATATCTAAGACTGTCAGAGGACATAGCTTTTTGTCTAAGGTTCTCTGACTTAGTGAGTTTTCTTTAGAAACTCGGTTCAAGGGGCGCCTGGGTAGCTCAGTCAGTTAAGCGTCTGCCTTCAGCTCAGGTCATGATCTCAGGGTCCTGGGATCGAGCCCCGCTTCAGGCTCCCTGCTCAGCGGGAAGCCTGCTTCTCCCTTTCCTGCTCCCCCTGCTTGTGTTCTCTCTCTCTGTGTCAAATAAATAAAATCTTTAAAAAAGAGGAAACTCGGTTCAAGTATAGCTTTATAAGGTAGTCAAAAAGAAAAGACAATTGAGCATCCAATCAACAACCTAGAAAATGAAAGAGTATCACGGAAATTACCCTTGATACAGCCCCTTTTAGTGCAGAAAACAGAGTTTTCAAAATACAGTAAACTGATTCTCACTGTTCCTTTAGGGAAATTACATCCTAGTGAAAACACCTTTGAACTTAATCATCTTTGCATTATTTTGTATTAAACAAATTTTCATCAGTTAGACACACATCCTTGAAGAGTATCTGAAATCTGCCACTGTCTCAGAATTAAAAACAGCTGGGCCACCATGGGTTTCCCGTGGAGCACATAAGAGTGAAAGAAAGGATTATAAGCCCCCACCTCTCATAGGCATTTATTATTGCATCTTGTGCAAAGCCTAAAATGGAATGTATAGGAACCCCCGAATTAGAGAGCCTCCCCCCAACCCCAGAGGAACTTACCTGAGTAATAAGTCTCTAAAATATACTTGATGTTGATTTTTTTTTTCCCTTTTAAATGTGAATTTGCCCTAAGATCTCTTCTAGGGGCTTGGCCTGAATTTCCCCCTTTACCCCGTGTTTTGGGCCCTCACGGTGTGCCCGGCTAGACGCTGCAGGATTGCTGGGGAGGAAGGAGCCTCACGTTTGTGAGTGACTGAAATGGGGTACGAACTGTGTGAGGGTTCTTTCTACTCCCATTTCATTTGCCCCTCAAAAGAATACTGCCGTGGTACTAGTATTCTCTCTTTGAAGGCAAGGCGGGGGAAAGGGCGGATTTTGTTTTTTTGTTTGTTTGTTTTGTTTTGTTTTTAAAGAAATTTATTTGAGAGAGAGAATGAGAGAGAGAGTGCACATGAGAGGGGGGAGGGTCAGAGGGAGAAGCAGACTCCCTGCCGAGCAGGGAGCCCGATGCGGGACTCGATCCCAGGACTCCAGGATCATGACCTGAGCCGAAGGCAGTCGCTTAACCAACTGAGCCACCCAGGCGCCCGAAAGGGCGGATTTTGAACAGTTCGGTAACTTGCCGGAGATGTCACTGTGACATCGGGAGCTGGGAGTCACTCTGGAGAAGAGACAGTTCGGAGGCAGCTGGCTCCCGGCTGGACTATGAGAATCTTGACTCTGGGCGGTTTATGTCTGAGTTTGGGGTAGGCCAGCAACGACGGATTGGGGCGCTTGCCTATTGCGGTCATGGTCACTCCACGGTCAACCATGATTTGGACATGATTTGGATTCTTGATTGTTGCAATATGATGGGACTTGTAGGGCACCAAGAAAATAAGACTAAAAAGGTTCTAATGCCGTGTATTCCTCCCTATATTTGTTTCCTAAGGCTGTCATAACAGAGTACCCCAAATTGGGGGATTTAAAGCGACAGAAATCCTGTCATCGTTCTGGGGGCGGGAAGTCCGACGTCAGGGCGTCAGGAGGTTGGTTCCTTCTGTGGCCACGAGGGAGAATCTGCTCCTTGCCTCTCTCCTGGCTTCTGGTGGTTTGCTGGCGACCTTTGGTTTTCCTTGGCTCATAGATGCATCACTCTCAACCTCTGCCTTTATCTTCATGTGGCTTTCTCCTTGTGTGTATCTCAGTGTGTCCAGATTTCCCCCTTTTGATAAGGTCATCGGTCCTATTGGATTAGGATCCACCCCAGTGACTTCACTTTAACTTGATTATCTCTGTAAAGACTCTGTCCAGAGAGGGTCACATTCTTAGGTACTGAGAGTTAGGACTCCAGCAGATCTTTTTTCTGGAGGAGAGTGGAGGGGGACAGTTCAACCCATAGCACCTGCATTCAGCATGGCGCCACAGAGTACCCACAACGCTCCTGTGCTTGACTTGAAGGCAGGATTCTCCATTGTCCAAATGGTCCAGGGATTCAGTGTGGCTTTCTTGGTTTTGGGGACAGTTGACAGGGCTCCCCACAGCCCAGTCTCTGCAGGCCCAATAAGAAAAATAAGAGATCCTGAATTTTTTATTACTTTATTACTTGATGCAGAAAGTATAAGGCCTGGTTGACATCCAGTAATAATTGTTTTCGCTTGAGACACTGAGGGGTAAACTTCCTCTGAGTCTCCTTTAACAAAGCAAACAAGCATGGTTTCTCAACAGCGAGCAGCTTTAAGCAGGGGCTTTGGGGTCTTGCAAGCTGTCCCTGTCCCAGCATTCTCCGGGAAGAGGCACACATTCTTGAGCACACCTTACTCTAGAACGATAGACGTTAGTCAGAGGGTGTTCCTTCTGTGAGTTTCCCACAAAGAGGAGAATGTGTTCGATAGTGTCAGGGAGAATCAGACCCCACATTTGAGCTTTCTGTGAGGATCTTCTGGGACACCAAAGTAGGCATCCTTGGCAACCTCAAAATGGGGGTCTCTTTAGTGTATCACTTGGTTCCTAAGCGTTCTAGGCCTTGGGGTGAGGGGAGTGAGCGGCAGAGCTGGGCTGGAGCTGTTCTCACTGTGCGTGTGCATGTTTGCAGACACCAGCTGGAGACGCCGGGACATTACTCCCATCTGGCTGCATTCTACGAGGACAAGAAAGGGGTGCTCCATGCCGGTCCGGGGAGAGGCAGCAGCCTGCCCCCCGTCTACTGGCTGCCTTCTATCCACCGATACATGTATCCCGAGATGAAGGTAGGGCTAGCCGTATGCTCACATGGCCCTGGGCTCACGTCTGCTACAGTGGTGGTGGTTTATTTATTTTTTTAACTAATTAGGACTTTATGTCTTGGGCTTATGCACAAAGTCTGGTTTGGATAGGTTTCTGACCTAAGCATTTGGATTCTTTTAAAACACAAGGCAACAATATGGTTTTTAGGCGCTGCTGTAAGCATGGTGCAAAGCCATGTGGGATGAGAGGCCAGTCATGGTGGATTCCTAGCAGGGAGAAGGTGGATTTGATTTGGTTACTGGCTTAGGTATTTTAAGACCAGACCCTTGAACTGAAAAGATGAAAGATGAAGAATGTAATGAATAGATGTAATATTTCATAGTTTCCATATTCCTAATACTACTTTATTACATATTTGTTCTGCAAGTCCTTTGTGTGCTAGAATGTGTTCATTTACAGTTCACAAGCGTGAGGTGTTGGGAGGATACAGAGATGAGTATGAGCATGAAATAATAAATATATTTATTGAAATTATTTATTGAAATAATGAAAAAAATTTTTTAAAGATTTATTTATTTTAGAGAGCATGAGGGGGAGGGGTCGAGGGAGAAGGAATCTCAAGCAGACTCTGCGCTGAGTGTGGAGCCTGACCTGGGGCTTGATCTCACGACCCTGAGATCATGACCCAAGCTGAAGCCAAGAGTCGGGCGCTTAACTGACTGCGCCACCCAGGGGCCCCAATAATAATGAAAATTTTGAAATATTGTAAGAATTACTAAAATGTGACACAGAGATGCGATGTGAGCAACTGTTGTTGGGAAAATGGCACCAATAGACTTGCTTGATGCAAGGTTGCCACAGACTTTTAATTTATAGAAAATGCAGTATCTGCGAAGCCCCATAAAGTGAAGTGCAGTAAAATGAGGTCTGCCTGTAGTTTGACTGGGATTGAATCTCTATGTCAACTGACCAGGAGAGAGACGATTGGAAAAATAGGTTGGAATCACATTCTAGAGAACCTTAAATACTTGACCATGGAATTTGAACCCAGTAAGTACCAGTTAGGGTCTTGCCAGGAAAACACAAACTATGTTAGATATTCCAAGATACTTTAATTTACAGGGAATCCATAATCTAGGCATTAGAAGACTGAAGGAGCCAAAAGGAACAAGGGAATCTAGATATTTGTAATTATAGACAGCTCCCGCCTTCTATTAGTTATGTACTGCTGCATTACAGAGTACCCCGAAATTAATGGTTTAAAATAGTACATATTTATTATCTCACAGTTTCTGTGAGCCAGGAATTTAGGCATGTTTTGGCTGGGTCCTCTGCTTCATAGTCTCCCATGAGACCGTAGTCAAGGTATCAGCCAGGTCTGGGGTCTCGTCTGAAGGCCCGATTGGGGAAGTATCCACTTCCGAGCTCATGCAGTTGTTGGAGGATTGGTTTCCTTGAGGGCTAGTGGACTAAGGCCTTCAGTACCACTGCCTCTTTGTTGTCCTCAGTCCTTAGCCAGATGGGTCTCTCCAACATGGTGGCTTGCTTCATCAAAGTCAGCAAGTGAAAATCAAAATCCTTTGTAACCTAACTGGCCATGACAGCCCTGCAATGTTGCCATCTTCTGTTGGTTAAAGCAAGTTACTAGGGAGAGGGGATTACATAAGGCTGTAAATACCAAGAGGTGGGGATCATTGAGGGCCTTCTTAGAGGCTGCCTACTGAATGCACCTTCCCAGGGCTGGGATCACAGAGGGAGGGATGACATTATCAAAACTACAGGGGCTTGAGGAGGGGCCCTACACAGCCTGCGCTCAGGTCTCTTAGGCACTGTGCACCTGCTGATGCTGGACCCGCTGGGGGGCATGGCTCAGCTGGAGCTGCTGGGAGAAGCTGGAGGCTAGAATCAGAGATGTCCTCTGCTGCTGGCGAACAACCAGCAAGAGTGAGAAACTGAAGAGAGCTCCTTCTCCCTTCCTTCTGCCTTCTAGTCGCCAGTCATTGCATCCCAGGGGAGGAATGTAACAGAAAGCCAGCTGCCATGGGAGTCCAGGGAATGTCGCTTAAAGATTTCCCCGCACCATGGCATGCCCTGAGAGGCAATAATTAAGAAATGGTCAGAGGGTCATTAAGGCGATTCTGGGTCAGTATTGACTGAACCCTGGATCTTTTCCTTGCCACTCCTAACTCTGACCTGTTTTTTTCCTTCTCAAATTGCTGCTGGGCTATCTCAGACCCACAGGGAGATGACCAGCATCTGACCTGGGTGTCCCCGGATTCCACTCCCCAACAGGCCATGAAGGAGGGACACAGGAGAGAGAAAGTAAAATTGCCTTCTGCTTTTGCTCCATTGAGGGCAGCTCCTTAACATACACGTCAAACTCTAGGGGATGCAGGGGAAAGGGTACTTTGTGATAGGTTACAGATGGAAATGTGAATGACCTTTTTACAAAACAATTTGTTAGTACTTATTAAAAATGCATGTACCCTTTGCTTTAGCAATCCCACTCTTTAGGATCTGCCCTCTATTTATAAACCACCAGAATATAACGATGTCTATATAAGAATGTTTAAGTCAGCATTGTATAGAGTGGTAGAAAATGAGAATGCCCCATATATTATATAGCCAGTATAAATAATGAATTAGAACATACGTCACTGACGTGGAAGGTCTACCAGGAAGTGTTTTTTGTATGAGAATAGCAAAGTGCGGAAAACTATATGTGATATGATCATGTACTTTTGTAAAATAATCACAGCCTCAGGTGTAGGTATAGATAAACACACGCATACATCAGCACGGGACAATGCTTGGGTATATACGAGGTTACTAATACGTATGTTACCTGGGGATGAGATCAGATATGGAGGAATGATGCATATATATATAAAAAAGGAAAGAACCAGGAGGAAAATGACAGCCCTTGAAACAACGCTGTGTGTGTGTGTGTGTGTGTATATATATATATATATGATTATGATTCCACTGGTCGTTTATGGAATATATCACATATATGTACATAAAAAGAAATGTCTATAGAAGCTTTCTCTTGAAACATAGTATTTTGAAGCCACAAGTTTAAAAAAATCCATATATATAGTTCAGTGAATTTTTACAGAGCGAACACACACATGAAGAAAAGTTTAAGTTTTTAAATTCGGGGTCAGATCGGAGATGGTTGCAGAGACAAAAATCACGGGCAAGGGAGGAAGGAAGGCTTGAGGCCTCCCTGAGGGGTCCAGCAGTGCCTGGTAGATGCCCCGCTTTGGGAAACGGGGAAGTGGGAGAGAGAATAGGGACTGAGCCCCAGGGAGCGGTTGGAGTCCCTGGGCAGGGATTCGGGACGGAGGGGAGGTGAGGGATGGAGAGAGAGCCCGAGGGTTGCTGGCCACGGTTAGGGAGTGAAGAGAGCCTGGAGTATGTCCCCTGGAAGGTCGGAGGGAAAAACGTGAAGGTGGCAGCTGCGTAAGTCAGGAAAAGAGTTTCCTATAAAAGCTACAGCAGAATGAGGCCCAGACCTGGGAAATAGATTTAGGTGAAGGCAGGAGAAACGTCCCTCAATGTAACCCCTTCCCAAGTTGCCCTGGCACAACCCCAGCCCGGCACCTCAGCTACTGGCAGTTCTCAGGAAGTGGTGTGTTGTCTCTTGTCTCCGGGCCTTTGCACACGCTGGTCCCGCCACCAAGAACGCCGTTGGTCCAGTTCCTCCTTCATGTTCAAGCTGAGACATGCTGCCTCCAGGAAGTCTTCCGGGTCTCCCCAAGAATTGGGTCGGGCACCTCCTGTGCGCTCCTGCAGCCCCTGCCCCCTCCCATCAGCTCTCAGGCTGGGATTTGATCGCTTGTGCACCTGCTTCTCCCAGTAGTCTCTACACTATATGAGGGGCAAGGGCTGGGCCTTTCCAAAGTTCATTGTTGGACCGAGCCTACTTAGCACAGTGTTTGGTGCAAAGTTAGCACGTGAGAAATCTTTCTTGTCCGAGTGTATCCGTGCATCCTTGAATGGATGAATAAATAAGACCAGAATTAAGGATTGATCGTTTATTCTGGGATTCTAGGGCCCAGGACACATTTGGGCAAAACACTGGCAGGCCTTCATGCAGTAGAAGAATGTCCTCAGGGCTTGAGGATCACCAGAGGGGAGGCTGGGAGGGGCCCACAGGGCCTGGGCTCCCCTGACTGTCTCGTTGCCTTAGTACTTTTGTGAAAGATTGGGGTTGGAGGAATCTGACCAGATGTGGTGGTTCAGTGCCTCTCCTCCCGGAGATCTGGGAGAGGAGTAGACACAGGGGTGGGACACGGACCCTCAGCGGAGGGCAGCCTCTCTGCCATTGGGCGGGTGGGGGGTGGGCAAGTGAAAGGAGCAGGTGCGGGGACATCGCCCACCCTGGAAAGGGAGGCTCATGCTGCCGGTCGCCAGGGCTCCCAGCCACAAGCCCAGCACCAGCGTCCCTGTGGGTGCAGCTCCTCGGAAGTGTTCTCACCAGCGCCCCCAGTGGGTGGTGAGCGCTATTGCTTCGGACACTTGAGCTCAGAAGTGACCTTCCAAAGCACTCCTGAGGAGCAGAGCTTGAAGACTTCCTGTTTCATCAGCACCTGCGCGCTAAGCACTTCATGTGTTTTTCCTCAGGTGGTCCTGGGAGCCATGTGAGGGGCAGGATGGTCTCCCCATTTCACAGATCAGGAGAGTGAACAGGGAGCGTTGGCTAACTTCCCCAAGGCCGCCCACTAGTAAATGGCAGAGCTGGGATTGGAATTCAGCTTTTCCAGGGTCAGAGCTCCTGGAGTCTTCCTGGCTCAGGGCTCCTGAGGGGGCGACAGGCTCCTTGCACTTGGCAGGAAGGAAGAGGCTGGACCCCACGTGCAGTGGTTATTGGGCAGGGGGGCCCATGAGGTCCTCCTGCCCATGACCTGCGCAGATACTCACTTGACACGGTAGCGGCCCCCATACACTTGGGGAGCTCATCACTGCACCCCTTCCAGGGCCCAGTAATGGTTTCGAGTTGAATGTTCTCATTGAGGGCGTACTGTTATTTCAGAAACTTTTCTTTCTGACTTTTCAAAAGCACGTTCAGCCTTGTTTCTTGTGCGCCCCTCTCTACTGAGCAAAGTACTTCATTTATTGTGTCAGGGGAGATTTTGGAGTATCGAAATCTCATTTAAAAGTGAGACTTTAAAGTGAACAATACCATTTTGTGTAGAAGTAGCCATCCGTTAGTGCCTCTGTTGGTGGTTGTCTGGAGTTTGTGGGCTGGGGGCGGGGGGTGTTTAGCACACAGCTGTACTGAATCGTTTCTCACATTTTGAACAGGCTCGTCTCTTCCTCCTTTATTTTTTTCAGATCACACACCCAGCTGGCTGCATGTCTCAGTTTATCAAGTTCTTTGGAGAACAGATTCTCATCCTTTGGAAATTTGCCTTACTTCGAAAGCGCATTTTGATATTTTCTCCCCCTCCTGTGGGTGTCGTATGCTATAGAGGTAACTAGAAGCCAGAGTGGGGTTTTCTTTCCTAGGTGTCCTGGAGCAGCAACTGCTTGAGTCTTTGCATTGTTGACCAAGTTCAGAAGAGTTTGGGCTGTCCCAAGAGGGTCCCAGGTTTTCAGCCCGGGAATGCCGGGGTTGGACTTGTGTTCTAGAATGTGGGCTGTGGCGGCAGAGCAGAAGGTGGGTTGGGGGACACATCCACAGTCCGGTGAGAGAGAATAGATGTGAGAGAAGATGGATTCTGATACACTGCGGAGGTAAACCTGGCAAACGTTGGTGTTGATTTGGGTTGTACGATTCTGATGTGTGTGAGGGAATGGAGGAAGGGTCTAGGATGACCAGGATGGTGGGGCCACCAGCTGGGGGTCCAGGAGGAGTAGAAGGGGTGGAGTGATAGCACTGGCTCTGTATGCGAGGTGGACACCAGGCACCGGTGCGGTTGGGTCAGGACCTTGGGGGAAAGGCAGGCTGGAGATAAAGATTTGAGAGTGGCACATAGAGTGCCGGTGACCACGGGATGGATGGCGTCCCTCGGGGAGAGCGCGAGCGAGGGGAGGTGATGCAGGCACTGGAAGTGGAGTCACACAGCGGGACGGCGGTCGGAGGAAGGGAGGGAGCCGGGAGATGCGGGGGTTACCACAGGCAGGAGCCGTGAGAAAGGGGGAAGGTCACCAGCGCCAGATCCTAAGCAAGGTCTCGTGAGGTGAAGACTGGAAACCGTCTGTTGGCTGTGGTAAAGCGTCGTCGGTGTCCCTCGAGATCGGCTTCTGCTGTGGGACCCAAAAGGCTCGTGGCCCTGCCCCATCCCCTGAGAAGGCCAGAGCCCCGTGGTGACTCAGGTTCTAGGACGGCACGGGGCAAAGCCTCCCCAGTGTCCTTGGAGGCTGCCTGCTTGGAGGGGGGGCCGGCAGGCTGCCAGGGAGGAGGGGCACACTCCTCTTCCGCCTTCCCGTGCCCTGTCCCACAGTGTACTGCTGCTGCTGTCTGGCCAACGTCTCCCTGCCGGGCATCGGGGGCACCGTTCCTGAGTCCAAGCCCTTCTTCTATGTGAACGTGGCTGACATCGAGAGCCTGGAGGTAGAGGTGTCCTATGTGGCCTGTGAGTACGGGGCCCTCCCCGCGTCCTGCCCACACGTCCTTGCCCCGAATCCCCACAACAGCGCCGCTGGAAGCCGGGCCCTGGCCTTCCGGCTCCCCGGGGACCCTCCTCCTCGCAGACGCAGGGCTCCCAGGCCCCTTGTTTCCTTGGTGGGGTCGGGTGGGTGCCTTTCAGTGACGGCCTCCAGCTTCCGAGACCCTGAACTTGGATGTCCCAGGCACCACAGAGAAGATTTTCGAGGAGAAGCGGGAACTGTATGATGTCTATGTGGATAACCAGAACGTGAAGACACACCACGACCACCTGCAGCCCTTGCTGAAGATCAACAGTGCTGACCGCGAGAAGTACCGGCGGCTCAACGAGCAGAGGTAGGGGCCCGCGTGCGGTGGGGGGGCGCAGCTGAGGCCGGCACGCACCCCGACAGAGGGGGGCCCCGGGGCGCTGCCCCTTTCAGGACGGTTGGGGTCTGTCCGTGAAGCCCGTCCTGTCCGCCCCTGCCCCGTGGTGCGTAGGGGTGGCACGTATGCCTGCGGTGACTTCTTTCTTATGGGCTCTGGAACCTGGGCGGCCCAAGGGGGAGCACTAGCCTTTAATGAGCACCCAGTGAGCACAGTATTGCCAACGTGCTTATGCCTTATCTCACGTAATTCTCAGTAATTCGTGACATGAGAGTGGTCTCATGTGGTGTCAGTGGCGAAATAAATAATAGTATCACCATCATCCCTGTTCGATGGGCATTTAAGAAAGATCGCCACTTGCCTGAGACCACAAGGGGCCGGCACTGGCCCTGGACCCCAGAGGTTGGACTCCAAGCCCCATTTATTCCTTTCCCGTCATCTGTCTCTCCAGGCTTTGGGGCCGGGGGTTGGGGCTGCTCTTCCGGGGGGCCGGAGGGGGATGGCCCATGCAGGGGCCTGACCGATGACCTGGCCGATGTCGGGGGTCCTGTAGCGACAGCAGAGCGTGAAGGTGGCCTCCCTCCCCACAGGCAGATGCTGCTATACTCCCAGGAGGTGGAAGAAGAGTACAACCCCTGTGAGGAGGACCTCTTCGTGCTGTAAGTCAGCCCGGGCGGCGCTTGTGGGGTTTCCCTGAGGATCCCGCGGCGCCAACCGCTTTGGGCCTTGACCCCTCCCCTGTCACCCTCGGCAGCCTGGGGATGTCCTTTATTGCTGCCAGGTCCACTGGGAGCTGGGCTCCGTATGGAGTCCACCGTGAGCCCTGAGGTGCCATCGGGGGACCCCCCAGAGGAGTTAAGGAGAGAAGCAGGGAAGTTCAGAGAAAACGGGAGTCCTCATGTGTCTTTCCATTCAGCGTTCCCTGCAGATGCCCACTGCATAGAAGCCTCTGTCCTTCAGGCTCAGGGGCTTCTCCTCCACCGCCTTGTTCGAATAAAGCCATTCCTCGCATTCAGTATTACGGGATAATCAGAAATTTTAACTTTTGAACCCAGTGAAAGCTCTTTCCCCCAGATGTGTTGGTGGTCGGGGCAGGAGCCGTGGGCTGTATACCTCACGGCATTTGTCTCGTTGCTGAGCGGCTGTGTGAACCAGCCCTCCGCAAGGAGGACAGAACCGTGCTTGAAACAGACCGTCCTCCCAGCTCCCTGTTCGGTCTTCCTTCCCCGGGTCCTGGCGCGGGGGCGAGGAAGGGCCCTCGCAGCTAGAACTGTGCCTGCCTCGGAGGTCGAGAACGTCACATTGACATTTCCATGAAAGTGCGGTGCTTTGGTTCTGATGGAGTGTACTTTCCAGTCCTTCCATGGTGTTGACATGTAACAGTGTTTGGAATTGAGCAAAGAGCCCGCAGTGTCGTCAGGGTCTGAGACATTCCACGGCCTCTGAAATTTTTGAGCACTGAGAGCTTCTTTGGGCCCGAGGTGCCTTTGCCGAACCTGAGAGCCCTGCGGGTACAGCTAAAAACTCCAGACAGTGAACACCTTTTCTGAATATGGCTTGTATGTTTACGTGGTACCACAGACCCGTGACATTCGAATCATGCTGTGTATAATCCCACCCCCCCAACCAAAAAAAACAAACCAAGGGTGATCGGGAGCTATGGCGATATGGGTGTCTACAGCTAGGCTTCCATGTCCCCGTCACCCCTCTCTCCCAGCCTTGTTGGCCGTGGAACCTCCCCAGGCCTGCCTCAGCTCCTGAGCCCCGCCTCTGCCGTGTGCACAGCCGGCGGCAGCCCAGCATGCCCTGCGCTGGCTCAGGCTGGGGGACCTGGTGGCTCAGGCTGGGGGACCTGGTGGCTCGGGGCCGGTTCAGGGCCCTGCTCTGTCCCCGCTAAGGCTCGCCCCTGCGGCTGGCTCCAGTGGCCTGTCCCCGGGCTTTGAAGGTGAATTTTAGTTCCTCCCGTTCAGTCTTGACCTCAGAACCGCATCATCAGGGGGCTTTGGGGAGTTTCGTTTTTCCTTTCTCTTACCCGTAGGACTGGGAAGCAGAGGAACAACGGTATCTATAGTAACCTTCCGCGGGAAAGTTGGGTTTTGGCAGTCAGGCCATCACTGGTTCAAAGACTTGGCCAATCATACGGTGATTAACGCCCATGGTTTCTTTGCTAACCTTGGTGTCCCTTTAATAACCCTGGAACTTTGATCCTCTTCCCTTATTTTCAGGGGTATTTCTGAGTTTGAAACCATTTAAAAGCATCTTACAGCAATGTAGTTTTGGTTCCTCGTGTGTGGATTATTGGGTGACTTGTTTGTTTTGGCTTTTCTGCCCTCCCTTCCCTGTGTCTTACCTGGTGAACGCAGGTTTTTCCTAGAGCAAAACAACCGGATATTTCAGACTTTGCTGGAGGTGTCCGCCAGTCAAGATAAAACCCTGACCGCTGAGCATGCCCGCGGCATGGGTCTAGACCCGCAAGGGGACCGGAGCTTTCTGATGGACCTGCTGGAGGCCTACGGCATCGACGTCATGTTGGTCATCGACAACCCCTGTTGCCCCTAGGAAGAGTGAGCCAAGGCTGGTGAGCCTCTCTTGCCTGGGGATCTCAACGCTGGGCCCCAGAAGACCTCATTTTTTTTAAGTTGACGCACAGGATTATGGTTTCTACTTTCCAATAAATGTGATTTTTGCAGTCTCCTTTCTTCCCCTCCTCCCTAGTGGTAAGACGAGACCACCTTGGTTTTATGTCCTGCTCTGGTACGATGTTGGAATCTACCACTTTCTCCCAGAACTGCTGCCTGGTTTGGTGATCAGAGCAGATTCTCTCATCTCCTTGTTGAGTGACTTGAGGGGATGTGGTGAAGGCCATCTATCACTAGGAGCGGGCCAAGCTCTGCAAACACTGGGGCCGACTCCTCAGAGAGTGCCTTGAGGTCCTCGAGAATGAAAGAACTGCCCCGGGTGGCCGTGGATGTGCATCTCCTGGAGATGGAAGCTAGCTAGACCTCATGACCCTTCAAGGTTCTTCTCGGTTCCGGGAGTCCGGTGTTGGGATCAAATCCCTTTTCCTGTTCACTAGGGCAAACCTGCATCTTCTCTGTTCATGTGAGGAGAGCCCTCGGAGAGGAACAGAAGGATGTTTCTGTCGCTGAGGATGAGCTGCTCTGAGGACAGAATGACAGGAAGAGGTTTCTTACCAACCATCTGGAAATTCAAATTGTAGAATGAAGCCTTGAAACTTTCCTCAGAGTAAATTAGTGGTGGCCCGTCCATGTGATACTCCCTTCTTTCCCCGAGTCCCTCTCCTCTAGGGATGGCCCTGGAGCTTGCAAGCAAACTCATCTTACAGTGTAGTTTCCTTGAAGGGCTAACTATCCTTTGGGAGTAATTTTGGTGTTTTTAAAGAGTAATGTTTGTTGCCGCCAAAGGCAGAGCAGTTGGGATTCAAACAGGAGAGAGAAGATGTTTCTCCATCTGAGAGTTCTCTGGACACATCACTAGCAGAGCCTCTGGATCAAAACAGAGACTGACCGGATTCCGTAATCAAGCAAGGATCTGAGCTGGTCACTCCGAGTCTGGAGCAAGACTGTGTACCAGCTTGGAGCCCTCACCAGTTTCTCTTTCGCAGAGATGACATTCCTTGAGCTAAGTAGTTGGGGCCAGACACTAACATGTGTGTCGAGAGAGTGAATTTGACAGTGCCTTCACCTGGGGAAGTGGTTGGAACCCCTGAGTGTCCGTGGTGAGTTCCCCTGCATTCCCCTGACATGTTTTGGTCTGAAATGACTCCTGTCAGTCCCTGCCTCTTCTCTTCGGCTGGGCCATTCCAGGGACGCCAACTTCGATGAGACAATAGTAGTTTGAAGCCAGCTCTCGTGAATAGATTTGAGGTCTTTTTGGCCATAGTTTAGGATTTGGACTTGGGCTCCTGGGTTGTTGGTGACAGTTTCTTCCCTTTGGAGCTTCTGCCTGGCTCTGTCATTGGCCTAGCCATCCATGTATCCATGTCTGTGACGGGCTTCCAGCCAGGCTAATACAGCAGAGAAATAACATTCGAATGGATGGATCACACAACTGATCTCAAGACTAGCTTTTTAGGGCTCATTGCTTTATTCAGAAATATTTTCACTATAGCTCCTTGATACAGGATTCAAGACTAAAGAAATTCACATGGACAGATGCAAATACATCCTGGTTAATCAAAGTAACATCTTTGATGTAAATATGTAAGTTTGGGCATTGAAATGTAAACTGTACAACTAATACTCTTTCCTCTTCCGTGTGGGTTTAGCCATCATTTCAGTCAGATGTATTTTTACAAAAGTTTCACCACCTCTTTCCTTGAAGAGCAGCCTTCTCTGGTCTCTGGGGAAAGAGCGGCCTTTCTGGCCTGGGTTGAGTAATGGTGACTTTCCGTGGTGTCTGAAGGCTCAAGGTTTTCGAAGTTGGGGGGGTGTGTCTGAAGCAGGGGTAGGGGTGACAGGAAAGGTCGGATTCTCTTGGCGGACGTAGGCCCCCTTCCTCGGGACGCGAGGGGTCTGTTGGAAGATGATTGTCTTTAAGCACTTCTGCACGCAATCACTTGTGTTTCTGTGGAATTGTAACTCCAGGCTCACAAGTACTCGTGTAAAGGTCATAAGGTGAAAATGAGGTTATTTTCCTTTGAATGGTGGGTAGGACTCCGGGCTCCTTGCAGCTCCACACTCTTCCAGGTGGCCGTGTGGCCTTTCCGTGCGGTCCCCTCACACTCATGCAGGGGGCAGGGGGATGGGCGCCGGGGGGAGTGTACAAGCGAGCCTGGGCTCGGCTGACCCCAAAACGAACTTCTTCCCCACCCACCCTGTATCCCTTTTAAGAGAGAACCCAAGGACTTGGTCCTTCCCTTGCAACTTCCTTCTGGGCCAGAAGTCCGGCGCCGCACCCCCTCTGGCCGGCTGAGTAGCATGCCTGGTGGCTTTGTACTCCCCTTGGTCACTGTTCACCATCCCCCGAGTGTCTCTTGCCTGGATTGTGATACGGAGCCTCTTGTTTCTGAGGTCACCTTTTGAAGACTTGCTCTGCACCCGACTCTGCTCCCACCCCCCTGCCTTCCCCCCAGTGTGTCCGGTTAGCAGCCCACCCAGCATCATTTGCTGCCCCTCCACTAAAAGGGGCACAGGGGTGTGGGGTACCTGGCAGGACTCCCCGCAGTGACAGCAGAAGCGAGAAGCCGCACGGACCTGCTTTTCTGCCATTGTTGAACGATTTCCTTAAAAGCCTTCTGCTTTTGTTCAGAAGACATGGTCGGCAGCCTCCTTTTCTGCCTCATAGGTCCGTAAGTTCTGGAGGGGCAGGGATTCTTACCACAGACTCCTGAAGCAGGGCTGGAAGCCCGAGGGTGGAGGAGCTTGACCGATGATCGCCGCCTACCCCCTCGACTGTTGAACCTCATTCCCCGCCCCCCACCCCACCCCAGCTGGCTTGGTCCTCCCGAGACCTTGAAGCCTGGTCTGATGCCATGCTGTGAGCCATGAGCTCACCTGGAAACACTGCTGACCCAAGACATCTAGGCTGCTGTCATTCCTGAATTGAGTCTGACAAAAGCCGGGTAGCAAGGTGCCTTATGGGGCCAGGAATCCAGGCTTAGTGTTTATTGATGTCCAGCAAAATGTGACAGAGGCCTATTAAAGTGGGGTTTGTGTGTTTTTTTTTTTTTTTTCCAATTCTGCAGGCTTGGCAGATGGTAATATTCAGCCTTGGAGAAAATGTCCAGTTGTGCTTTGGCGTAGGATTCTCTCTCCAGAAGGAGTCAGAAACGGTAGGATTTATCTCCTACGAGAACCAAAAGTGTGGGCCGGACGATTGGTTTAGCATTAACGATGGCTTTCATCAGGCACGAAGCTCTCCTTGGGCCTGGTGTAGATCTGTCCACGGCACCACTTGGGGCCTCGTCTGGTCCTCAGGACAGCCATGAACAAGAAGACACCTGCCCCCCCCCCCAACAACTGCCACCCAGCATGGCAGCTCTTCTTCCGTTTGGCCAGGGAACGGGTGCTGAATTCATTGATCATGATAGAAATCATTGAGCCCAGAATCTGCATCTAGAACTTACCTTGTGTCGTTCCCCGTGAACATCAGGATGGGAATTTTCAGGGTAGCACAGACCATTCCAAATACCACCTGTGCCGACTCATTTGTCAGCGTAACTACCTGGTATTTTTGCCAGAAGATAAAGGTAAAGATAAAGCATAGCTGAGTTGCTCTTTTTCATTCCGGTGGTTATGAGGATGAACTTGCTATTTGTCATGATACGCTGAAAGCCCTTCCAACACAATAAAAAGATGAGATTATTCACCTTGAAGCTGAGGCCTGCAGGGAGCCTTCAGTAAAGGGCAGTCGTGAATTAAACTTCGGCGGGGCAGCAGCCCTCTGGGAAGAGCCAGGGACCTCAGGGACCTTTTGTTTTCCTTTTTTTCTGAAACTGTATAGCCCAGGGAATGGATTGAGACACTTTCTCCAAGTCCCTGGACAGATCAGACTTGCAGAGAAAAGGGGGCAGGAGGGTGCTGAATAAATTATAAGGCGATGGTCAGCTTGACTGTGAACTTTGCTTCGTTAGGCTATCAGTTCTGAAATAGGCAAGAAAGTCAACATGGGGACCAACGTGTCATGCAGGGGCTTTCACCTCCCTGTCCGGTTCCTCGCTAGCAGGCTCGGAATCTGTGAGGTCCAGCCCGAGGATCTTTCTAGCGCACCCCTCAGTGAGGCTCCTGCAGAGCCAGACGCTGCCCTCCGCTGGCCCGACCTGTCCCTTCTCATTTCAGGGAAACCCTTTTCTGATTCAGGTAGGGGAAGAGCAGGAGTCAAGGGCTTCTCTTACTCCTGAGTCATGGATTTTTGGTATTCCATTCTAGGACTCATATACCTCTGTTCCCAGGAGCTGCTAGAGCACCGAGTGTTGGGAGAAAGGCTGTGAATTAAGTTAATATTTTTCTTATAAGAAATGGGAGTCTATTTTTCTATCAATATTACTATGTGATGAATGGAGTGTGCAGATGTTGAAATGGAAGGAGATTTCAAAACTATAAGCCTCGAAATGCGAAGTTTTGTCATTTGGAAGCAACTGAGACCGCATAAAAGTTTTATTACTTGTTTTCGAGCGTGAACAAGGAGACGGTGCTGTGAAGTATTAACCACACTCTGTAGGAGATGAATGTGATGGTCCTGGGGAGGCTGACGCAGTCCCCGACCTTACAGAAAATTCTTTTACAAAGCATGTGAACGTGATAATGCTGATTAGTGAGCCTCTTACTGGAGCGGTATGGTTTTATAACCTGGCACTTTAATTCTTTTCTGGAGCCGGAATACAGGGGCAGTTGGATGAAACTGCACATTTAGAAAGGAAGTGAGAATTTTTCAGTGCTTATAAATGATGATGGGGAAATAAAGACCTTTAGAGTTATCCTAGAAGCTCAGCATAACATGGGCTATTAGCAGTAACATAACCTAAATTCAGAAAATTTATTTACTTACCACGGTAGAAGGATAGGTGTGAATTACTTACGCTGGTTGTAGAATGCAGGTTTAGACTAACAATACATTTACTGTGCTTTTTTGAGGCCAGGTGGGGAACACAGTGGTAGGTTAGGGCCTTAGAAATTAGCCAGGGATGATCCACAAAATGAAAACTCCACACAGTGGTCACTGAGTTAGCTGGTTGCAAATATATCTCATTGATGTTGGAGTGAAAACTTCTTAGGCCAAATCAAGCGAGGATAAAAGCGGACAAAAATTTTGAAGGTGGCATCAGGGATAGTTTATATAGGGCGCCCACAGAGACCATCATTAGGAAGGGTGTAGATTCTGTGCTTTTGAACAGACTGGGTAGGAGACTCCAGGGGTGTAGAGGAAAGCAAAATTAGCCCCCTATTTACCCAAGCTTGTTGGCTAAATTTTTTGTTACAGGTCCGGGACACAAACCTTTTCTGAAAAAGGAATAGTTGTAGCCTTGGAAAAATGGTTTTTCTATTTTTCCCCTGTTAGGATCAGCATAGCCTCCCTTTCGCCTTAAGTGTCAAACCCCTATTTTCATTAATACCCCAGCATAAGAGTTAGAGCAATAAGAGACACTGAATCTATTTTTGTTTAAATTCTTTACCTCATAGTATGAAATTAGTAAGACAGTTGATGATTTTACCCTGAATACTGGTGCAGAGAGGTATGTTGTTCTGTTTCGAATGGGAAGAATTTTAATGGCCTAAAGAAAGCTGGGGTTAATCCTGAAGCTAGGAGTAAATGTTTACCTGATTTTGTTCTGTGGTACCAATAACATCTGTGTGTATCTTATCTGTATATATCTGAGCCAAGTTGTGGGCAGAGAGGTTGCTAGAACTCTATTTACAGAATACAGTTTTTACAATTAAAATTCACATTTTAACATGAGCATGTGTGCTGCTGTCCTTCCCTGGCCCGAGAGATGGGGTCTGTGCGGGAAGGAGGGGTGGCCCGGGGTAGGAGCAGGACCGGAACGCGGACCTCACAGTGACGCCGGAGCCCCCCACCCGGCGCGTCTGGTGCCTGTTCTCCGTAAACCACCTCCAGGCCCCGGGGAGCAGAGCCGGGCCTGACCGCGCCGTCCAGGAGAGCCAGCGCCACACGCACGCAGCCACACGCCCAAGTTTTAAGGCAGTACAGGGTGGATCGCTCACGTCGCTGGCTCTTGTGTTCAAAGCCAGGTTCCTCCTTTCCAAGGTCCGTGACCAAGGTGTCTGACGTCCCCTACTTCCTCGGGCTCGGGCAGAACAGAGGGAAGCCCTTGCGTGTGTAAAGAAAGTGCTAGCACGTCGTACCTACAGCTGTGTGCGTGGACCAGCCACAGCGCTCAGCACAGGGCTTGTATAGAAAACATCATCTGCTGGGCTTTCATTAGAAGTCATCCTAGCTTTTGAGTAAAGCCTTGCAAAAGGTTTGTGCATACAGGAGGTGGGGGGCCCGGGCTCTCCGCATCTCTGCATTCGGGGCCGGGCTGACAAGGCGCTGAGCTGCACTGCACTGTGGCTGTGTCCTTCCCGGGGCCACTGTGCGCCAGGACCGTGGCAAGAACGAGGCCGTGACCGATAAGGAAACCGTTCTCACAGGAGCTAGCCTGAATCAAGAAAGCGAAATCCCCAGCAGGGATCACAGATTTCAAAAGGGATAAAAATACTGATCTCTTAACTAACTACCCTTCCCCGATCCTACATCCCCGTTATTTCACTGGGCGGGTCAGAATTGCTAAATAAACAGACGCGCCAGTCGCCAGCTGATCAAGGACGAAGCCAGCCAGCTTCTGTGCTGGTCCTTTACAACCTATCAATCAGAAAACCAAGAATGGTTCAGGACTTCCCTGGCTCCTGGAGGAACGTTCCCTGCTCCCCTCTGTGGGCACCAGGGAGCGGGTGCTCCTTCTGCAGGTTTGCACCCACCTGTTTTTGGGCGGCGAAGCACAGCTTGTAACACCTCTGAATACAGAACTGAACAGGTAAGCCTGGTGGTGATCTTTCTTCATACGCTTTATAATCCTTTTAAGCACTGGTCTTCACTCTCCAAGGGATTGATGGGCGCGGGTATACGGACGGTCCGAAAACTGATCGGCCTGGGGAATGAGTCTGGGGCCAAAGCCTAAGAGTTCTGCTTCCCGTTTCCCCCCTTCACCCCCATCCTCCCTCCTCATCCATTCTGGGCATTGCCCTCTGGAGTATGGAAACCTTGGGGGCAAACACAGGAAAATCCTGATGGTACTATTAAAAATCAATGATTTAAGCCTGGCTTACAGATCCTTAGCAAATCAGGTACTTTCTAGTTCTCGGCTTTCAACTAAAGGAAGAGCTAATCAAACTACTAAGTTCAAAGAACTGGATGACGTTAGAATTCTTTGTCTCGTCTAATTTAGGTGCTTAGATCTATAAAAAAAACGAAACAAGGACTATAAATGGTGTTGAGTCCTGTTTTAATCTTAGCTGTAAATAACGTTCTTGAACTCAAAGGGTTAGTTTTTAATTATCAAAAATTCTCAGTATTTTCATTAGTTGTATTCCAGTAATTATAACAGTTAATCCTGTACTCAGTTAACACTAAAAAATTATTTCCATTTATATTTTTTGTTGGCAAGAAAATAGGGCAAGTGATGATAAAATTTCAGGCCTGAAAATAGATTACATTACGATAGCATTGTTTGCTGAAAGCAGAATGGAAATACCAAAGAACCTATTGGTTTATGTTCGTAAATGGAGAATAAGTATCAAATTGCTATACATTTAAATTGCACCAAATATGTTTAAAAGAGTGATATAAGTTTTATTTTAAAATATTTACATGACACCAGGAAACACATACTTTGGCAACTCAAGTTGATATCTAGAAAGTGAGGGGATACATGATCTTTCAAAATACTTTTAGGGGGGTGCATGAGCATAATAGTGGGGGGGTGTGCTTTACAACGCTGAACAGGTGAGGTTGGGGGACCTCGGAATAGAAGCACCTGGGGGAGGGTGCCTGCTTTTTTAAAAAAAAAATGCAGATTCCTGGGCCCCAGCCTGAGTGACCAGGAAAGGGGTGGGCCCCAAGCCCGTCAGTTTTCAACATGCACCCCAGGTGGTTCTCATGCAAACCCATAGTTAAGCATTACTTTAAAAAAAATAATACAAACTAGCCATTTACAGTTTTGCAGCCGTGGCTGAAGAGGGAAACACCTGCCCTGTTTTCGGATTGAGGGAAGAACTGAAATAAGCTTAATTCGAATCTGAGCTCGGAAAGTAGCACCCATGGAGAAGCCGAGAAAAAGGAGAGCAGCGGGGAAGGCAGGCACCCGCCCCCGTCAAGTCCCAGGAGCGCGGCGGGGAAGGCCCCGACGGTGGCTGCACGTGTGGGGACTACCGAGGTCGGGCCCTTACCCAGCTGGAGCGGGGGGGCTGGGGGGTCTCTCTCCGGGCGGGGCCGCGCCTGAGGCAATCCACCGCGGAGGAGGGAGCAAGGCGCACAGCCAAGGCTGAGCATGCGCTAGCGGGAGGCTCGGAGGACGGGGGGCGGGGGGGGGGAGCGCTGCGAGGGCAGGGTACTTGCCATGGAGGTGCCCTGGGGTCCTGTGACAACACTACGGGGACAGGGGAGGCTTGGGTTCCCTCGTGGTCCCATCTGAGGCCTAAAGTGCAGCGTGGGGGCGGCCGGCTCCCCCGACGGCTCACGGGGCCGCGCTGGGCAGCAGTTGTCCCCTCTTCCTGGGATCGCAGAAGAACTGCAGCTTCCTGGGGAGCAGCTTCACCTCCACGGGCATGGCCTCGTACTCCTCACTGTCGATGCTGAAGGAGCCCCCCGTTCCCTGTGGAGAAGGGGAGAGGTGGGTCTGGCACCTCTGCAGCAGGAGTCGCTCACCACGGAGCACAGCATCTTCTCCGAGGCCGTATCCGGAGACGGGCACGGGGCTGCTGCGGGAAATCTCCCAATTCTGCCATCCGCTTCTTGTCTTGGGGGGCGGGGGGGGGCTTCTATCACCTCCCAGAGTATTTTGGGATTTGAGAAACAAGGCCGTAATTTAAAAATATTTACTAGGATACAGGGGTCCTGCCGCACCTTCCAGGAATTAATTGACATACAATGTTATAGGGCCTTGTCGGCCCTCATCTTAGGAAAGCTGTGATCCACTGGATTACTTTCATGGTTCTTCTTTAGGACATAATTAGCTTTATCCCTCAAGTACAGCAGCATTAACGTTACAGATTCTATAAAACCTTCCATAATTCATGCATTTAGTTCAACATTTGCTATGCTGAAACTACAGGGCCACCCACTCTGGGGGATAGCGTCTGTTTTACCTACAGTCCTTTCTGAATACCATAGGGTAACGGTCCCCAGTCTGCAGAGGCCATCTGTGGTAACTCTTCTGAGGCATAACTCCTAGAATAACTATAGAATTTAGATTATATTCCTAACGTTTTCCCCTCTTATATAGGTTATTCTAAGCTTGGCATTTTATAATACAGGAAACCTCAGTGCCATCCCCAAAACGGTTTCCAGATCCTGTATTTAAAAAAAAAAGGATCCATGATGAGTATCTGCCAACTAGAGAATTCTCTGTGTCTTACAACATGGTAACCTCTGCATAATGTACATTCAGAAAAATAAAGGCTCAGGAGATGTAAAGATCACGTTACAGAACCGTGGCTTACAAATGCTGGAGGTCTTCAGGAGTCCCCCGCTCAGCCCTGGACTCGGAAGGGGATCCTCTCATCTCTTCAAGTATCCCTGAACATCACCCAGAGCCTGGCCAAGTGCTCAGCCCATACCAGGCGCCTAGACATGAGGGGTCTGTTCACAGAAAGGAAGACCGACCAAGAACGAACCCGAAGCTGTGGGACGGGAGCCCCACTTACCTCGGGAAGCAGCAGAGTGCACTGGCTGGCCTGGAGACACTCGGTGCCGGCCACACGCAGCTCGGGGTCCCTCACCTTTTTGCTTCTATCGGTACAGGAAAAAGCACATTTGGACACCAGGGCGGGCAACTGCATTCCAATCACGAGAGCACAGCCCGTTCTTTTGTTGAGCTTAAACAGATGGACTCATGCTATGCTGAACCTTGGGTTTTGTGAATAACTCTCCCACAATGATTCTTGCTCAGCAGTGTGATATATTCTAGACTGAGGAGGTTAACTTGCTGTAGAGAACTGTGTATGAAGTTAAGACCGAGTGATTTTGTACCTAATTCTTGGGCTATTAAAAATCCTACTTTTAAAAATTAGAATGAACATTTTTTTAGAGAAAGTACTAAACTTGTGTTATTTGGTACTTGTGAGTCTATCATTACTTGAAGGAGAAAACATTTTTTATTCTAAAGCAGACATTTCTTTTACATATTACATATGAACAACCAGTTCTTGCTGATTTTCTATATTCATATTAACAGTCCACTTAGCATACTACTGTCTTTACCTTGGAGTAAAACTATCAGTCTACACACACACACACACACACACACACACACACATTCTCTCTCTCTCTCTCTCTCTCTCATGCACATATATCCTTGGGAGCTAGTCGTGGTCAGTGGAAAGAGTAAAAGCTAATCCAAGTAAATTAGTCCATTCTTTAGCATTAAATGATAACGTTAATTCAGAGTTTTCTAGAGCAACCTCACAATGTTCTATTCCAATACCCAGAGGAAACAGACATTACTTAATCTCACTTCCTGTAGAGACCAAAGGAAACCAAGTTTCTGCTGCTGAAGATGATAGCAGTGATGCAGAACATGATGACTCACCTACATTAAGCAACATAATCGGTTTTTCTATTTTTGGATGACAGTATTATGAAGGAAATTTTGAGTAAAGCTGGCCCTGTGGGCCAGACTGTCAATTAAAACAGTGTGAGACTTCTGGACACTCTGGAGGAGAAGGGAAAGGCTTTCCCTTTCTTCCTTCTGCTACAGATACAGCAAGGAAATCAAAGGCTGCAGAATCAGCTGTTCAGCAACTGAAGAATTTGTACCAAAGGCAAGAACAACGCAAACCAATGAAAGACAGTCTGCTGCCCGTGCTGGTGCAGATAATGGAGTAGCCATGGAGACCGCGTGGCCACACCAGAAATGTCTGCTCCTTCCGTGGGCACAAGAGGGAGCTCTGAGACAAAGCACCAAACACCTTGGCTGAGCGGATTACCAATTGGCATGGCAACGCGTGGGTGCCGAGGATGTGCTGAAGCCGGGGGCGGGGGGGGGGGGGGGGGTTGGTTAGAGCATTCTTAACCAATAAAACTCCGGCAGAGGTCGGGCTTAACAAATCAGACAGGACCGGAGGATATTTTCTAGTGGAAAACGGAAAAGCCTGGAGATTGTGCAAAGTACTCCATACCTTTTCACGTTTTCCATTACCGCCCTGAAAGTGGGGCAAGGTGGCCTGACATGAACAGTAACCAATAGAAGTGCTTCACCGCGAAAAACACTTTGCCACACATCCTCTCATTTGAGACTCAAAAACAACCCTGAGGTAGTTAGGTGTGATTACAGTATTCCATTCCATACACAGAGAAGTTAAAGGATCTGTCCAAGCCGTGAGGCCAGGATGTGGCAGAACGGAGATCTGTAGCCAGAGTTCTGGATGCTGGGCCAGGCGCCCATGAATCCTTATTCTCACTGGAAAGGCAGCTTGCCCCCACACTCGGGTTTTCCCAAAACTAACAAGAAAAGCCAAAGAAGGAGAAGAGGGGCATTCTACGTGTCAACCCAAACACTTGAAACAAAGAAAGGCTACATAGTCCCCAAACCACCCAAGTCCTCTGTTGCTCTCTTAGACTTCATGGGGATCCGGAATAGTACGTGCTAGAATACAAACTACTTAACTCGCATTTCCTACCAACCCCAGCCCACTTACCCTATAGTTATGAAGTCTCCTTTGCTGACAGTGTCGGGTTCAATGCAGATGTTCATAAAGTCTTCTTTGCTCTGCAAGGTCAAAAAGACTAACATTAATACTCTACATTTTGGCTAATGCAGCCTGTTGTCCTCCTTTAGCCTCAGAGATTCATATTTTAAAGCTGTTTATTATACAGAGACCTTTACTTTTAGTAACTTAATCTTGAGTATATTTCTTTCTTTTTTACATTAAGACCCTACTGAAGTATAATTTACATACCATAAAACTCATCACCTCATCACTGCTTGCTTGGTTGGTTGGTTTTTACTACCCAGATAAGCTAAACAAAAACTCAGGTTTGTCGGAACTCGGAGTGGAAGGTTTTCGAAGCCCCAACACTACTCGTCACAGCTTTGTGGTCTCCGGGGTTCCCTCCCCGAGGGGTCAAGTTCCAGCCTGTTTACCCCGGCAGGCCTCCATCCTCACAGTGCGTCAGTATCACACCACACCTGCTCCGTCAGCTTCTTGGTCTGCAGAGCCCAAGTATGTGCGGGTTTGTTGGTTTGTTTGGTTAAAGGTTTATTTACTCGAGAGAGAGAGAGCGCGTAAGTGAGGGGAGGGGCAGGGGAAGAGAATCTTCAAGCAGAGGCCCTGCTGAGCACAGAGCCTGACTCGGGGGGCTCAATCTCACAACCCACGAGATCAAGACCTGAGCTGAAACCAAGAGTCAGACGCTTAACAGACTGAGTCACCCAGGTGCCCCCCAAGTATGTGTTTTCAAATGTTCTACATGCAGTTTTGATCTGTAACCAGAGATGAAGAGCAGCAATCCATTTCTGCCATAGTAATATTTTAAAAACTTCTCATTACCGTCCACCGAAAGCTCTAGAAGAACTGAGCTACAAGGAAGTGGCCATAAAACCAGACCGGGTTCTTGGAGCACGCCCCCCAGTTTACTACCACTTAGTGGCTAGCAAGACAAACCTGGCTCTCTATAAATCAGAACCAATACTTCTGTGACTGCTTCAAATACAGGTACTGTTTCTTTTTGGACAGGTTCAAAAATCTGTAGCCCCAGGATAATCCATGAGCTGCTGAGAGCGGACAGCCTTTGCCGAAGAGTAAAGAGCACTACCAAAACACAGCTTTCTCTCTCAGCCCGGAATTACAGAACGTACAGGGGATGACTTGGCTCTAAGTTCACCTTTTATGCAACAACTTACTGAGTGTCAACTACCATAAACTCTTCCAGGTGCTTGGGTTACATCAATGAAATAAAAAACCAAGTATTTCTGCTTACAAAGAATTTATCTTCTACTGGGAAAAGTGGAGGGAATAAACAACAACAACAAAATACATAAAATAAAATCTAATCATAATAATGAGTTATAGAATATATTCGAAGCATGTTAGAATGTATCAGTACAAAAACAGTAAATTATATATAGAGAGAAACAAATGGTAAATTACGAAGTATATTAGAAAATAAGTATATTAGAAGTATATGAGAGTTTTGGGGTGCCCGAGTGGCTCAGACGTTAAGCGTCTGCCTTCAGCTCATGATCCCAGGGTCCTGGGATCGAGGCCCGCATATCGGGCTCCCTGCTATGCGGGAAGCCCGCTTCTCCCTCTCCCACTCCCCCTGCTTGTGTTCCCTTTCTTGCTGTCTCTGTCAAATAAAATCTTTAAAAAAAAAAAGTATATGAGAGTTTATTAGAAAAATGAGAGAAAAGAATACAGAAACACCAGATGGTGTGGGTGCTAGGGGTGACATTTTTTTTTTAAAGACTTTATTTGTCAGAGAGAGCACAAGCAGGGGGAGTGGCGGGTTCCCACTGAGCAAGGAGCCCGACGTGGGACTTGATTCCAGGACTCTGCTTAACCGACTGAGCCACCCAGGCGTCCCACAATGAAACCTCTCTGTCTACATCAGAAGTCCGACATCGACGTCTGCTATCACTACGTCTACTGAACACTCTAGTGAGGTCCTGGCCAAGGTAGTAAGGTGAGAGAAAAGATTAGAAGGCTAAGTGTTTGAAAGGAAAAACAAAACTTGCACTATTTGCAGTTGATATGATTGAATCTACACAAAATCCAAAGGAATCCATAAAATAAACTTAGTAAGAATTTCGTTATAAGGTTGCTGATTCAGTATAAAAAAAGTCAATTACATGTCCATCTAAATTAAATATTTAAAAACGAAATTTTAAGGGATACTATCTACAATAGCATCAAAAATTAAGATAACCAGGAATATATGCAGCAAAAGGCAAAATGTTAGAACTATAAAACCTCACTGAAAGGCATTACCAGCCTAATGAAGAGCCATGCCACGTTCATGTAACAGAAGAGTCAATATTAGAGAAGTGTCATTTTTCCTCAAATTGATCTACAAGTTCAGTGTAATCCTGTGATCAATATAACAGATTTTTATGTGGAACTTAATAAATCTGTTAAGGGATTTATAGAGGCCAAAGAGCCAAGAATAGTCAAGAAACTCTTTAAGAAGAAAAACAAAGAGGGACTTATTATAAAACAACGATAATCAAAAGCATAGTACTAACAAGGTTTAGACAAACAGAGCAACTGAAGAGAGAACCTACAAACACGCCCCTGTACACCTGCTCTCACAGCATAAGACTGCAGGGGAGCACCGTTCAGTAAACGGTGCTTGGACAACTGGCTTTCTATGGGCAAAGATTATAAAATTGGAGCCTTACCTCCATCATTCACAAAACTCAATTATAGTTGAAAGTGTTTCTCTTTAAAGTAAAAATAGAATCATGTGATATATATCACACCAGCCTGGTTTTTCATTTAACAATATATGATGAATATCTTTCCATGTCAGTAAACAGAGAACATCTTAACTAAATGTACCAGAATGGATTTAATCAGTCCCCTGGTTCATTTGTTTCACATATTTTGCTATTATAAATACAGGGAACAGAGCTGTACAAGAGATCCTAATTTCCACACATTCCACACCCGTTAAAGCCTCTTTGACTCTGAATGTACTTTTTTAAATGATAAATGAGTTTGGAGCTATCACATGGCAGCTTCATTGTCTTTAAATATTTTCTTGCATTTGCTTTTATTTTTACGAAGAGGTGTGGAAACAGAAAATGAATGTACTGCTCCTCGTGATAAGCGGCACAGAATCTTACACTTTCATGATTGGCACTGAGATCAAAAGCACTCGGCACTCTGCATGTGGCTAATCTGGGGCCACAATCACACCCTCGACCGAACTCCATCCATTCGTTGGTATTCCGTCATCAGAGAAAAGAACAATGTTAAAAGAACAAGAACAAAACACTAGAAATACCTATTATCAGAGATGGGGTATAAAAGCAATGTATAATTAGAAATTTTATCTTTCTTTTTGAAATTCCTCTGGAATAGAATCTATTTTTTTCAACCTTAATACATTTTCACCAGTGTTTGCAGAATTCCATTATGTAAGAAATAAGGGAATGGCTACACTATGTATGTGTATGCATCTGATTATTCCTGTAGGAGAAATTCCTAGAAATAGAAGCACGCCCTGGGCCCTAGTAAGTCTGTTTTAGATGCTTTGGAGAGACCAGCAAGACACCGTCAAGAAAGGGTGTTCTGATTTACAGTTCCAGCAGAAATGCATTAGCACCCATTTCCCACCCACACCAACACGGCACACCCTAGAATGCTTAATTTAGGACATTTCGTTGTTATTTTAATTTGCATTTCTTTGATGTGAGCACTTTTCCTGTTTCCTGACCTATTACATGCACATAAAAGTATGTAAAATTCTCAGGGCAGTGCCTGGCAGATAGTACATATTCAGCAAATAGAAGCTATTTTTCCATGTTTATTTCCTTTGTGAATTTCTATTCTTGTCCCCGTGCCCGTTACTTATAGGAGTCCTTTGCCTATTTCTTAAGAGTCTGTTGTAAGGAAAGCTATTAACTCCTGCTGTATCACATTCTTTTTCCCAATCTGTCCTTAAAAATTTTGTTTATAGTTTCTTTAATCGTAAGTAGACAAATGCATCAATATGATTTTTGCCTTAGACACCATGCTTAGAAAGGCCCGGCCCTCCCCTGAGTTTATACTGATAATCACCTCGATTTCACTCTAGTGCTTCATGATTTTCCTAATTTAACTCTTCATTCCAACTGGAACTTAGAAGGCGAAGGAAGCTGTGTTACCCACATGTTATACAATGGACGTATGTTACTTTTCTAATTAGAAAACAACTCACTACTCTACTAACGTCAGAGTCGAACTCCAGGCTGCAGGCGTACGTTCATCGCCACGTTCAAGTCTACATGCAGTTTCCAGACGGACCAGGTCAACTGTGCACAGACGACCTGGATCTGCATAAAACCTGATCACAGTAATGGGTCCACAGGACAGGGTAACTTTTCTATTCACATTCTTGCTCATACAAACTACTCAGGTTTTTTCTACAGCAGGGATCAGAAAACTCTAGATGGCCAGGGAGTCGGTATTTGGGGCTTTTGGGCCAGAAAGCCTGTGGCAATGACTCGACTCTGCCATCAGGACATGAAAGCAGCCATAGAGAGCACATATATGGATGAATGTGGCTGTTCCAAATAAAACTTCTCTTATGGATATTGAAACCTGGATTTCGTATTCTTTCTGTGTATCACAAAAAATTCTTCTGATCTTCTCAGAACCGTTTGAACATGTTAACACCAATTCTTAGTTTGTGTGCCATCTAAACAAAAATAGGTGGCAGACCAGTTTGTCATTCTCTGCTTTATTTCAACATTTTTTTGGTGTCTTGTCAATAGGAGCACCATCCAGAACTTTCCGCGTTGACGGAAAGGTTTTGTATCTGCGCTTTCCAGTACGGCAGCTACTCACCACATACGGCCTACGGGCACTTGAAATGAATGCTAAATTTTATTTAATTCAAACAGCCACGGTTCTAGCAGCCCCCACACACTGGACCGTGCCTGTCAGCAGAGTGGGCCCTATGTATATGTGTATATATATGTTTTTTTCTCCTGGGGACCTAAATCCACATACTTAATATAGTCACAAAAATAATGGGTATTCACTCAAGTAAAAGTTCCACAGTTTTTTATTCCTGAGACAAAAGGGAGCAGGCTAACTTTTCATTTCTAAAGGCCTTCTGCCCTCAGTTCTCAGAAAGCCTGGTGCTACAACGCAGCGCCCAGAGTACTGGCTTGAGCCCGCCAAGCCTGAAGCTACTACCTCACTCTGCTCTTTCTTCCCGTTGCTATTCTTCCTTAAACACCACACCATACCCTCTTTTCCCTGATCCTTTCCTCTCTCCCCCAAAAGGGTAAAAAGAAAAATACCCAATTAGTGGAAGAGCATGTAGTCCCACAGCAAAGGCTTTGCAGGTAAAAAGGCATGCTCACCGTCAGGTCAAGCTGACTGTTCCGCGTCGTGATGGACAGTTCGATGGTGGACAGCTGCACTTCTTTCCAGACCTCAGGGCTCGCCTCTTGGGAAAGGGCTGTGTGGGGGATTAGATTCAGGTCAGTTTCTCCTGCTAACATTTCATCACTCCCGCACCAACGGCGAGCTGCTGGTGCTCAGCTGGGCCTGGACCCAGGCCTGCCCGGGGACTCTCCACCTCAGTTTTATTTATTTCACAGTTTCTTACACACAGGATGAGAGCGCCGAATCCTAACCACTAGACCACCAGGGAAGATCTCTTACACACAGGATGAAGAGCCAGGCTCAAAATGCAGTCTCTATACCCGAAACATCCCTACCAGAGCAGCCACAGTAACATAAAAGTCAGTCATGGTCTGTCACCAGCGATGCATGCATGGGACAGCGCTGGTTTGGGTCCTGCTCTGTGGCACAGGGTCTTTGAAAGGCTTCTCCTGCACCAGGCAAGCAGCCCTGAACCAGCCAGGGCTCTGCAACCAGCATGCGGCTCACCGTCCTGCGGCTGTGCCCAGTATGACGCGAGCCTGCGTAATATTCTCCTGTACAAAGAGGGCCGTGGAGGGGTCTCGTCTGCTGCCCTGGGAGGTCTCTCCGTAGGTCCCGTGTACGAGATAGACGCTTGATGTATCTGAGGCCACTCCTTTCAATGTGAAGAGAGAAAACTTGTCAGGCATACCCAAGTCCAAACTCTGGGAGGAGCTCTGCAGAGGTTAGTGACCGACCTATGCCTGCCTGAAAGCGAGTTAATAATCTCACTGAATGGCATGAGCTCTACTCTGGAGCATGGAATCCTCAAGCTTTCTTTTCCTACTGAAGGCCGATCTTGAAAACCATGAACTCAGACTCTAGACTGTCTTTTACTTCCTGACACCCCAATCCAGTCTCATCAGTGTCCACAGGAATAATTAAAACCCCTAGTCACTCAGCCCCTGATGTCCTCTCTAAACCCCCAGCCACCCATTTCCATGGCCACATCCTGGTCCTTCCTGTTACCCAGAACTATTCTATCCTAGAAATCTAAAACCTTGACACCCTACTCTCTAACCATGTCCCATATTCTTTTTTTTTTTTTTTTGACTGATTCTTTTGTGCCCAGTATGCCTCTCAGGGTGACCCACTCCCCTGTTCTCAGGTTTCCATGTGGTAAATTACAAAGGAGTAACAATTCTGGCTTCTCTCTCTCTCTCTCCTCCCCCCCGCCCCCCGCAAAAGTGGTTGTCCTGGGGACTCGCTGCTTCCTCATGCAGTCGGCTTCCTATGGCAGTGTCTGCCCTGAAGGAGACGTTTTAAGGGGATGAATTCAAATTGCAATATTTGGAAAACTGATTGTGACTGCATTATCTAAGCTGTGTCCTTTACTCCTGCTGACATTTATAAAGCTGGTATTTTGATCTCCATCTGCCTGGTTCCTGCATTTGCTTTCATGACTTGGTTCAAACGCAGAAGAGGAAGAGAGGGGTGATGTTTTTTGGCTCCTGAAGATCCAACCCCATACCAAATTTCCAATCCCATTGAGAATTCCAGTCCCTGACTAAACCACTTTCCCTCAGTGCCTAGGTAACAGCTGATAACTTTAAGTCACTCTTTTCCTTCCCATCACTGTTGGTCCTCCTGTGTCTTTGGTGTTACGTTATATGTGCCCTGAAAAGCCCCTATTCTGGATCAATCCGGTCACTAGGTTTCTGTACTTGCACATCGTGGCTCCGTGTTACTAGAGGGGCAATCTGGGTAAGTACACCTGTGCCAACTTCAAATTCTTGGTCTCGGGTCCTCAATGCCACTTGATAATCCTTCCAAACCTCCCTATTTTCATCTCTCTTCAAAATCCTCACCACTACCACCTACTTCATTTTCAACAGATCACCTTGCTTCCCACACTTCAGTGAGACCATCAGAACATCAGTGAGAACTGCCTAACGCTCTATAAATCTGTTTGCACCTGGACCTCTGCTCTAGTTCTCTCCTTCTCAAGGAGAAAGGCGTCCCTTCCTCTGTCCAAGGCTGAGCCGGCACCGTGGGCCCCGCGCCCTCCGACCTGCGTGTGGGTTTTGCTGACTCAGTCTGGCTCTGCGTCTCCTTGTCTCCCACCTCTTCCCTTTCTTCTTGTCTTTTGTTTCAGGGTAGAAAGACACGGTTCTCTCTCCAATCAAGAAAAACACTCTGCTGGCCCCATATTTCTCACTAGCTTTTGCCTTTTCTATCTCCTTCCCTTCCAAGTGAGGCCTCTTGAAGGAGCGGCCCAGCCCTGCTGTCTGTGCATCTTCACCTCCCTTTACCCCCTAACTCTCGTTGATGGGACTCAGCCCCTCCATTTAGGAGCTGAGCAAACCTTCAGTGGCTGCCGAGGTCAGCGGGCACTTTCCCGTCCTGATTCCGACTCTGTGCTGCCACTTCTCGACGCTCTGGCGCCCACTGGCTAGCGTGTCTCTTCACAGGGACTCTCATGGGGCCCTCCCCTTCCCCCTCAGGGCGTCACAGGCAGCTCTGCGGCTCTTCACGTTTCCATTCCTCGGGGCTATCCCCGGCCTGTCTGTGCCATATGCCAAACGCAAAACTTCATCTTCAGGTGTATCTTCACACAGGTGATCCTACTCTAATATTGTCAGCGTTCAGGGAAAACTCTAGTTAGCAAACTAGCCCGGACCTCATCACTTCTCACCTGGCTTACTTGAACCATCTTCTCTCTGGTGCTCTTGTCTTAACCACCCACATGCAATCTCTTGTCTACACTGTTGACAAATCACTTTTCTAAAACGCAGACCTGCTCATGTCTCTCCCCTGCTTAAGACTCAGTAACTCCCCAGCGCTTTCATGGTGAAAGTCAGCTGCCACATCCCAACCTGCCACGTCCTCCCTTCCCCTCCTCCCCTCCCCTCCAACGCCCCCTTCTTGCCCTTCTGTTGCTCCACCATGTGACATCACGACCACTTCACACGTCCTGGCTCCTCCACCCGGAATGCCCTTTATCTAGTCCTGTGTAGACTCAAACTTGAGTACAAGTGTTCCCTGCCCTGGGAAGGTTGCTGCCCCTGAGCCAGACATGAATGCCCCCGCCCCCAATCTGCTCCCACCTTATCTCTCCATACGCTCTCCCAGAATTTGCCAGACCCCTGATTTACTGGTCCCTCACACTCCCCAAATGTGCATCCTCCTGGAGGGCAGGAAACCTGCCTTACTTGACTTTGTATTCTAAGCAGATAGCAGGGCTGGCCACACTAGATATTTAATAACTGCTGAAGAAATGCTGGAAAGAGGTTACATTCTCCCTGACTTGACAACTTAAGTACGCAGCTACTCTACTCTCCCTAACTGCACCCCCACTCCACCACTGAAATTACTCCCTTAAGCAAGAGTAACAGTGCATTTTACTAAAACAGTCTGCCTTCAGGGTAGAAAGGCATTGCCCTCCAAGTTCATGTTCATAATCATGTTAATCGGCTACCCCCAGTACTTAAGGGTTTTATTTTTTACATTTCTTTAACACAACAAGAATTTATTTAGAAGGTGAAAGGACCTATGTTTTCCAAATGTTATGTAATGGACATACCTCACTTTTATAATTAGAAAAACACTTGATGCTCTGAATATTAACATTAGAACCAATATTTTCACTACAAACTTCATATGCCAATTTTCAGATTGACCTGCCAACTTTTGAATATACTGCTTTGATTTGCATAAAAGCTGAACACGGGATGTTATCCACAGATAAGGATGATTTTGCTATTAGCATTTTCATTAATATACACTGTTCAGCTTTTCTCTATGCCAACATTTTTCAGTGGACAGGCTATAGTAGCAGTGCCCGATGGAATGTTCTCTGACGTTGGAAATATTCTCTATTTGTACGGTCTAAGACAGTAACCCATATTTTGCTAGCACAGTTTGAAACCTACTCTATTATACACAAGCCTGTTCAATTACATACTTTCGGATGCAAATCTTCAATTCATTTCCAGATACTAATGTAGACACCCTTACAAATAATTGAGCTATAGGTCATTCTGCTCCAGGTTTGTCTGGCAAGAGTGAGTGAATAAGTAAGCAAAAGGAAGTGGAATATCAAAGAGAAATTAAGTATGAGTTTGGTAAGGGAGGGAATGAACTGGTAGATGAGCGGTGATGGCTTATCCAACAGGAATGCTTCCTGCATTCGTATCTAAGTAAATACCCCCATTTGGAAACTGTCAGATGTATCTGTAGCAGGGAATTTTTAAAAATCCAAATCCAGGGGCGCCTGGGTGGCTCAGATGGTTAAGCATCTGCCTTCGGCTCAGGTCATGATCTCAGTGTCCTGGGATCGAGCCCCACATCAGGCTCCCTGCTTGGCGGGGAGCCTGCTTCTCCCTCTCCCTCTACTGTTCCCCCTGCTTGTGCTCTCTCGCTCTCTCTGTCAAATAAATAAATAAAATCTTTAAAAAAAAAAAAATCCAAATCCACACATCATACAATAACAACAAAATAACACAGGGGAAATTTCTACACTGGAAATTGCATTTACCTTAAGAGTGCTGAAGAAGTGAGCTGCTTTGGTTTTTAGAGGCCCGAGATACCAGTACCTGAGAAAGATCAAGACAAAAATCTAATCAGAATATTAAGGGAACTATCAACATGACAGACACCTTTCACGAAGGACAGTACGTTAAAACTGCACCTCTACTGTGGATACTCTTCACAATCACCTCTAGTGTGAGGGATGTACTATGAATTACTCTCTACTCACAGCTCTGGAGGCCTGGGGATTGTGCTTTAGCAGAAAAAAGCAGGACAGTTAAGTTTTTAATCTGCATTTCAATGTCGTGTCAAATAGGGCATAATTAGTAACACAGTGCACAGATCCTTGCAATTTACAAGAAATACATAATCAGCGTTTTCCTGACTCTCTCAATTCACAGGTATCACTGTAATATACCCTTTCAACCACAGAATGTAGCGGAGTCTACATTCAAAAGAGCAATGAGTGAAGGATGATGAAGCCTCAATGAGATGCAGATGTTGGGGTGGTCTGCTGTGTGACTCACATGCTAAAATGACTGGATCCTGTACACCATGTTCTCTCTCTCTCTCTCTCTCTCTCTCACACACACACACACACACAAACACACACACACAATTAAAATCTGTAAATCAGCCTAACCTCACATTACTCATGTTATGCAGCTTCAAAATGGGAAATGTTAAATCTGGGAATGAAGAGGGTCTACCGCATACTGCTAAATACATAAAAGCTAGTGTAGAAAGAAAGATGCCTACCGGGAATTAGAAAAGTGACATAAAATGGATTCCTCTCTTAAAATTTATCTCTGTCTCCTAACAGCTCATCATAAGTGCTCCCTATTTGATTCTGGTCAATACGCATTTATTTAGCATTTACTATGTATATGAAGGAAACAGAAGTAAGAGTATAAAAGAGTATAAAATTCCTGCCTTAGAAGGCTTATAACTTGAGAAAGTAAAGCCCAAAAAAGTAACAGAAAATAATAAATGACTATATATATATATCAGTGTCAACTGATCGCTATTTATTGGTGAGGAGAGTCAAGAAGGGACAAGAAATCACTAAGGACTGAAAATCATCAGGGCAACCAGGCCTGCATGATGAATGGCACAAGAGCAAAGTAAGGGCATGGAATTTAAAAACATGGTTTGGATTTAGATCCATGAAAGAGGGAAAGAAGTCATTCTAGGCAAGAGGAATAGCAAAGGCACAGTGAACACTGAGAACAGTAGCCACATTAAAGACTTAAAAGTAACGATACATAACTATGGAATTAGGGTTGATGACGGATCAAGTTGGGCCTTGAATGCCAGAATAAGGGGGTTAGATAGACTCCAAAGAGCAATGTGGAGCCATCCTATTTATTATCCGGTTTCATACTGTGATGCTACAAATGAGCACCTTGATCATCTGATTTTTTCTAAGCTTACGTAATAATTTGTTTCATTTCCCAGCTAGCCAGAGAGAAACTGTCCATAGTTCCACTCATCTCTACCAATGGCATAGCGTTGACACTATGCTTGTAGCCTGATGGCTAGCTAGGAAATCATTTCTTGCATCCTACTGTTTCTTCCACGGCACAGAGGGACTCCGTGGAAGGTCCCAGTCGAGGTGTTAGATAATCACCACCAAAATTTTAAAATTCATTGTTCAAAAACCAAACAAAATAGGGGCAAGTGTGTGAGATACTCCTAAAGGGGCTGAGCTATGCTAGTGCTCAGTTGTTAACACACTTCAGGAAGCAACTTGATCTCACCAGACTTCTTCAGGGAAAACAAAGAAATTACTCTTGGTGAGTTGCTGGTATTCAAGATCACAGATAAAACACAAGGTGATTTGTTGGGTCCCCCGAGTGACTCAGTCGGTTAAGTTATCTGCCTTGGGCTCAGGTCATGATCCCAGCGTCCTGGGATCAAGCCCTGTTGTGGGCTCCCTACTAAGCAGGCAGTCTGCTTCTCCCTCTGCCCCCACCCCCCTCCGCACTTGTGTGCTCTCTCTCTCACAAATAAATAAAATCTTTTTTTTTTTTTTTTAAGATTTTATTTATTTGACAGAGACAGACACAGCAAGAGAGGGAACACAAACGGGGGCGGGGTGGGAGAGGGAGAAGCAGGCCTCCCGCCGAGCAGGGAGCCCGATGCGGGGCTCGATCCCAGGACCCTGGGATCAGGACCTGAGCCGAAGGCAGACGCTTAACGACTGAGCCACCCAGGTGCCCCAAATAAATAAAATCTTAAAAAAATAAAATAAACACCGTAAGGTGGATTTGTGGAATCAAGGTAATCATGGCCAACTTACACATAAAAACAATGTTGAAACGCTCACCAGTGCAGTGTGTAATACAATACAGCACATCTCTCTTTAGCATTCCACTCTCCAGAACCTCATTAGCAGGAATAACAAAGTGAGACAAGTAAGAGAAACTTCCATAAAGAAAGTGTGGCAGGAAAGCCTATGAGGGGAAAGAGGCGTCTTCTTGAAAAAAGCTGTGAAACCGATCATGATTCACTTAAACTATACTAAAATTATAAGCCCGATGTTAAAAAAAAAAAAAGGTAAAGAAAAAGCACTACCCACCAGATATGGAGTCAGTCCCCCACTCAGGAAGCCTGTGCCTGCACCACCCTCCACTGGGAACAGAACACAGCTCAGTTGCTTTCCAAGCCAACAGTTTCATTCGGCACCATGAACTCTCAGGAAAGAGAGTTCATTCCCACGGAAGCAAGCCACGACCCTCTTCTCACCGCCGAGACAGGCTTGTTTCTTCAGCTCACAACACAGCCAGGCATCCGCCTTTCTTCCTTCTGAGAGAGGCAGCCTGTGGTCTCTCGATCTGCCAGGCTTTCGACAAGAACACCTCTCAGGGCCAGTCTTCCAGGGCTAGAAAGGCTCCACAAGGCTGGGGCCCCCGCAGGGCCAGCCCAACAGGCTGCAGGATGCCAGGCAACCCCAGTCTGGAGTAAGCCTGGCCTGCGCTCAAACACAATGTCCGGGGACAGAGATGCGGTCTCCGCCACTTTACTACCAAGCTAGTGTGGAGGAAACGGGAACCTTCCCCAACCTTTCTGTGTGTCAGATCTAAACCTCTGCCTCTATTATTCATAAGAAATTCAACCTCCAGGCCCATCAAATTTCTTCCTAGATGATCACTGTGTATTGAAACCTCAAAGACAGGAGCAGAAAAAGATTTTTAAAAAAATCATCCCACATCAGTACAGTAATCCTTTACTTGCTAACTTTGACGCCAGCATCTCTGAAGGATCCCCATCGAAGGCCAGTCACTGCAAACACGGGCTGTTCCTTTTCACCCTGGAAGTTAAATACATTCATTTTAAATCAATGATTACAGTAACCTGGAATGCTCTACAGGTAAGTACCCAGCCTACGTGTCCTCAAACCAAATTCTATAAAGGATATTCAAAATCTCAGAAATTAACTGAGTACTCAGTAAAAAGACTTGATTAACCACACTGTAAATGAAATTAATTTTTCTATAGTAGGCCTCGTGAATCTGCTGGCCAGGGAACACTTTACCGTACTTCAGACTGTAAATTCCCAAGTACCTAATTAGGCTGGCTCTTCAACCAATCAGTGGTTGGGTCGGCCAGAATTTCTCCTCTCTCAGAGACCTGTCCAAGGCAAAGCTAATTTAAGCCTGCATTCTTTTTAGAGGTCCAAGCGCTCTCAAGAGGAGAATCCTGGGATTCTAGAATGTTCACCTGAATATCTAAAACAACAGTGAGGCATCTCTCATAACAAGTCGGAATAAAAAGTGATTCGGATTTAGTCCAATGCTTTATGGCAAAATATTGCATATTACAATCAGTGAGTTTAGGAATATATAGAAAACATACACAGTAGAGCCACTGTCTTTAAGAGTTCATAATGGACCTTCTGTAAAGTATAAATTTTATATATATTTATACACGTATCTCAAGATTGTAAATACAGCCAAAGCCCAAGACTCTGCCCACATCCTAAACAGAGCTGTCACATGCTAGACACACAACTCCCCAGAACTTGCTAACTGGGGGCAGAACTGGTTCGATTTCTACCACGCCATTAGTACAACCAGTGTCAGCAGAAGATGGGGAACTGGAAGAGAACCCTCGACACTGTCAACTGCTGGTCTAGAGGAAGTATGTGAAGGCTTCCCCTCCATCCCACTTTGATCCCAGCATACCGAAACCAAGTGAGGGATTTCTTTTATTTTTTTTTTTTTTTAAGATTTTTATTTATTTATTGAGAGAGAGAGAATGGTAGAGAGAGAGCATGAGAGGGAGGAAGGTAAGAGGAAGAAGCAGACTCCCCGCCGAGCAGGGAGCCCGATGTGGGACTCGATCCCGGGACTCCAGGATCATGACCTGAGCCGAAGGCAGTCGCTTAACCAACTGAGCCACCCAGGCGCCCAAGTGAGGGATTTCTAGGAGAATCACACACTCATAGGGGCAGCTTATAAGTAAAGACACTGGCCTTTTGTCCCTTGGTGTGTACCCGTTCAAGCAGTAGACGTGTTTTCTGCCCTCTGCAGCAGCTTAAGCAAGGAAAAGGGAAATCGGGCGAGAGCCGGTGGAGCACAGAGGTGATGGTGAGGCACCTCGGCCCAGCACAGTATAAGGATATGATAGTCTCCTGGGTGCCGAGTGGATGTGGAATATAGGCAGGGCTTGGAGTCATCCTGACGATAGAAAGCTAATCATTTTTTTCATGGAATTATCACTAGCGAATACATATCCTATATTAGGGACTCGTGATAACAAAAGTATCTGCCCTCAAAGAGCTCCAGGTGCGACGGGGGGTTTGCAGACACACACGATGACAACACAATGCAGTAGGTTCACATGATGGAGATAGGCATCGAGGATTATGAAAACACAGAGCAGGTATGACTCTATGCGGTTTGGGGGGGGACAAAGGAGACTGATGGCTGGGGAAATACAACACAAAATGACACCCGCATTAAATTTTAAAGAATAAGGTGACTACATTGAGGGAGGCTGGGGAGAAGCATGGAGAGACAGAAAAGAGAGACAGAGGGGTGGTTTAACCTCAGGACAGAGGCAGCACTGTGTGAGTCTGCAGTATCTACAGTATTTCTCCCAAATGTTCCAGAGGGGCTAGTAAGCATCACAACAAATAACAACAGTAATGATGGTAGAGGATTCAATGGTGCAAGGAGTTGAGAAATATCAAAATTCCCTGGTTTGAAACAAGTTATGTTTACCGCAGTTCGTCTTAGAATCTTTAATATGTTAATGTACATTATAAACTTCCAAAAGGAGAAATACACACAGTTTCCCTGAACTGTTAACTGTGCCACCCTTCTCTGGCAGGCATTTTGCCTAACTAATATTCCTTGGGAAAGGCTGATCTAAAGCACGCAGGGTCACAAGAAGTCCTGCTTTGAGTACTCAAGCCTTCCCAACTGGTACGCTAAGAATATTTTCTCTTTCTTCATTGTGATTTTAGGAATATTCTGTTAAGATTGGCTGCAAAGCCCTGTAACCTCAAGGTGTCATTGATTTGGGGTGCTATCCTAGCAAGGGGTGGGACTCTGGACAATAGGAAATGAGTGTGGAAACATCTAGAGAAGCCCAGCTACCAGCCAGATGGGCACAGAGCCCTCAGGATTCAGGAGAGACCTAGGGGTCAGTAATGGAGAGACTGGACCCTGTTGGGGTACACAAGAAAAATGAACAAGGGCAGATGGACAGACTAGAAGCCAATAGACAAAATACCACTGGATGTTAACCCGACGAAGGCCTGGGTGATAGAGTACCAGATGGACAGGTCAGTAAACAAAAACAGATACAAAAAGACGGGCAAACAGCCAGATTTTAACAGCAAAGGAGATACGCTGTACCAAGTCACAGATCCCTTAGAAAGAGAAAATGGCCTCCTGGTTTGCTAAAAAATAAATCAATAAATAACAACTCTGAGAGCTGGTTAGAATAAAAGCTTAAGGGACAGTGAAAAGAAAACAATTCTAGTCAACTAGATACGTACCTAATCCAGGAATTTAAGGAATTCTAGATGAAGAGACAGAAACAAATAGAAGGAAATCGGAAGTTCTGAGGTTTTGATCAGTCAGGGTTTTAACAGAAGGAAGCCAGGAATAACAGAAGAAAGAGATTCTCACTTCAGTCAGCAACCCTAACCTCCTCTTTGGGTTCTGGCTGGAGGTTCTAAGAATGCAACTGAAGGAGCAAAAAGAAAGAACTAGAAAGACTTCCATAAGTCTTCCCAGTAGTTACTTTAAAGTCAAGTACTAGGCTTTGTAGATGTCTCTATGGGAAAATGCCTTTTTTTTTTTTTTTTTAAGATTTTATTTAATTGACAGAGAGAGAGAGAGAGAGAGACAGCAAGAGAGGGGACACAAGCGGGGGGAACGGCAGAGGGAGAAGCAGGCCTCCCGTGGAGCAGCAGCCCGGGATCAGGACCCGAGCCAAAGGCAGACACTTAACCATCTGAGCCCCCCAGGCGCCCAGGAAAATGCCCTTTAGAAATCACGGCCTGGTGCCAAGAACGAGACCACCCAGACAAAATGGTCAAGCCAAAAAGCAATGGACCATAAAACAGAAAATCTAGATTCTACTTCTGTCTCCAGCATGACTAGTCCAATAACCAGCTCTTTTTTTTTTTTTTTAAACTATCAAATGAAGATACTAATACACATCTTGTCTTCTCAAGCTGGAGGTCCAAATGAGATATGAGTACACACTGGACACTGTAAAAACCTAAATATAATGCGTTATTATAGCTTCCAAGAACTATATCTTTGGAGACTCTTCAGTTATTTATGTTTAATTGGGTTTGGGTTTATTTTTTAAAAGAAGAAGAATCTGGTATCAGGCTTTACCTATATTGCTTTCCCCATATTCTGAAAACAATCTCTAGGACTCAGGAAGATAGAGAAGACAAATTCAGCTTAACTGGGTGCCTCAGAAACCACAGTGGAGGCTGCTACGTTTTCTAGGAATTAATTTTTAAAGTTTTCTGCTTCCTGGGCTGTGTCATCAATACACAGAGCCTGTGGCAAATCTGATACTGGTTTCATCAATTCACAAAATCAGTACATGTGGAAGAAAAGAAAAAGAAGAGATAAGACTTTTAAATACAAGCACAGTCAACAATTTCCAATTAAATCCTAATTACTCTGGAATGTATTACTTCTTGCACATTTATTAGCAGGAATCACCTGGTTATTAGGAGATATAGCCTGACCCACCTCCTTCGGTAAATAACATTTTAAGATTGTATCTTCATAGACGCCAATCTGTGCTGCCTTCCTAGATGAGAATTTCTTTCACACAGCCCTTCCATTTTGTGAGAATGACTTAGATTTATTATACGCTAAAGAATCAAAGGCAACTTAAATCACTTTCATCATGACCAGTGACGTCATGGTGGAGAGTCCACACATCACTGCATGAAGAACAAAAGAAAACAAAAGGAAAACGGGCTGTAAGTGCATGGGTTCGCCAATTGTAAATCTGCATCTGGGCAATGCTATATAACTAACAACATTACAGGACTGAAGTTTGGAATCGTGACAGTGTGTGGAACCCTCTTTCATAGATATCGGGAAACTTGAGTGAATATAAAACGTTCAGGGCCTCTGAAGGACAACCTGAATGTAGCGGGTACATTTTAAGACCAAATCTGAGTAAATGACAGGGCTCACTGTTCATAAAAATGTTTGGCTTCATGGCTTAGCCTTCTGAGGAATCTGCCCTTTTGTGGTGGGGAAGGTGGGTAGTTTTGATGAAGGAGGAATAGCTACTTAACTACCACCCAGTGAGAATATCTTTTTTTTTTGAAATTCAATTCTTTTTAAACAGAGGATTCCAATCAGGAAATCTGGAATGACTACTGGGTCTTCTTCCCTCCAGTGTTTTTCTTTTGGAAAAATGTCAAACCAAGAAATTCTTTAACATACAACGAACTCCATTTATATCTCTCAACCACATTTACCAGCCACCAACATTTTCCCCTATTGGCTTTATCTGCGTGTGTACGTGTTTTGTAGTTTTGTTAAATCATTTGCAAATAAACGGAAGACTGCAATGGCCCTCACCCCTAAATATTTCAGCATGCATCTTCTAAGAACAAGGACAGACATATGCATAATGCTACTGTCACTCTCAAGAAATCTAACATTGACATATATCTAATATACAGTCCAAATTAAGTATCTGACTGTTCCCATAATATCTTTTGTGCTCTTGTTTTTCATTTTTCTAATCCAGGATTTTGTACTGGATTTAACTATATTGTTTTCATTTCCCTAATCTTGAACAGACTCTATCTTCCCTTGGATTTCAGGACATTGATATTTTTGAAGAGGCCAGACCAATGGTTGTTTATAGAATGTCCCACAATTTGGATTTGATAGACTTTTTTATCATTAGTTTCAGTTAGATTCAGAGAAGTGGACCTTCTGGGCAAGAAACTCAACAGATCACATGAGGAGGCAGATATTGTCCATCTGTTCCATTATTGGTGATGCTAAGTTTGATCACTCGGTTAAGGTGGTGTATGCTGGGTCTCTCTACTGTACAGGTACATCTTCCCCTACGTAATCATTTAGTAACCTGTGATGCTTTAAGACTGTTGATATATGTTCCCTAACAACCTTCTATCCAATGGTTTTAGCATCCTCTGATGATCTCTATCTGAATCCATTATTTCATTAGTGACTGCAAAATAATAACTATCATTCTTTCTACATTTACAAGCTGGAAATTCTCTTAAACTGTGGGCTCATAGATTCATTTTTATTTACTGCATTATAATCCATTAGCATTATTATTCTTTTTGATGTTCAAACTGTCCCACAGTTGGCCAGGTGGATACCATCAGGCTAGCTCCTGTGTCTTTTCAGGTTATCTCCATTAGTTTTTGAGTAGCTCTTGGCTTTGTTCTTGCCTTGCCTCTGAAAGCCATCTCTTCACAGAGTCCTAGTAACTTTTATTAGGGAATGGTATTTAGAGACCAAAATCTGAGTGCCACGTATGCCCATTACTGTGGGGTGTCATTGCTTCTAAGCCCTTTCAGTGGGCATAACCAGCAAATATTTTTTTAAAAACAATTCATGAGTTCATCTACAAATCAAAAAAATGTTAGACAACCCAACAGAAAAATGGGAAGTTCTGCTCCCATCCAGGATGTAGGACGCTACAAAGAACATTATCCCCACCTAAAAAATGAGAAAAACCCAGATAACGTACAAAATCATAATTTTTCTTGAGCCCACCAGAGAGCGAGCTGAGACTGCAAGACAGCCAAGTAACCTGAATTCCAAAGACAAGCCCCTCCGATGGATGGATGGGACAGGAGAAAGGCTTCACCTTTGGCAGAGCATGAGAGCAAGAGGTGACCACCACGCAAACAGGTTAACGTGAAACCAGTCACTGTCCCAAGGGCTTTGTATTACTAGCTCTTTTAATATTCCAAACCACCACGGGAGATAGAGAAATTATGTGGTCCAAAGGTAATCACTGGAGGAACTAAAAATAGTGACACTATACTGAGAGGAGATCTAGAGGAATTCTTATTTATAACAAAGAGGTTAAGAGATAGAATCTAAAACTGATAAATCAAAAAGCAATTCCATTGACTAAACAATAATGATCAACTGTACACCTGAAGATGGTTATGATGGTAACCTTTAGGTTTTGTAAGGGTTTTTTAACACAATTTTAAAAAGTAGCATCATAAGCATACTAACTAGTGATAACAACTAGAATAAACAGGTAAAATTCTTTTTTTTCTGAGAGTTATGTTTGGGATAAGAAAGGATATTATTTTCAGTGTAACCCCATTTGAACCACTACATCATATTTTCCTTACCACGTATGTGTGCATTACTTTGGTAATTTTGTCAAACTCTGAAGAAAAGACTCTACCTTGATCTGCAAGACATCAAGTGGAACAGTCTCTCCTTTCACAATGGCAAGTGTAGCATCTGTAATATGTCTAAAAAGACAAAGGGAGGAAATGATCATGTGTGGAAAACAAGCAACCCCTCCCCCACCACACCCATACCCACACTCACACCCACATCCACACACACACACACACACACTCCTGCCCAGAGTACTAACAGGTCAGGAAAAAGACCTACTCCTTCAAAATACTCCAAGATAGCACAACAAATGAATATAAAAGAGTTACTGATACAAATACAGTGGAAGCCTTTGGCAAAGAGAAGTTTATGCAAGGTGCCAATCATTTGTTTACATCACATTTATTGAATCTCTACTATGTGTCTTATCACTAGAAAATATGATACTTAATATTAACAGCATCTTTCATTCAAAGAAATTCAAGCACTTGAAAAAATATTATTTCTTTTGACTCTAATAATCTAAAGGGTAACTAAAGGATAGGATTTGAGCTACCTCAGCAAAATATAATCTGGAACCCAAGACCTATTTCTCTGACTTACCAGGATTACAAGGATGTAATTTTAATGGTTGATTCTTTTGTTCATAGACACAAGACTGTTCCTATCTACAATCTGATCGTCAGTTGAAAAGTCTATAAGTAAGAAAGGCTAGTACCATCGACAACCGTTCAGGGCATGTGAAACTATGCTAGGCTTAAAAGCAATTCTAGGGTTCAAGCTCTAATTAGATCCCAGGTCAGACACACGTTAAATTACAACAGTCAGTCAAAGAAATCTTAAATCAACAAGTGGCCAGACAGTATTTGCTCTTGCAGCAGAAAGAACGAGTCAACCCACTTCCAACACTCTCCTTGCCCAGCCTGTCCACCCGTCTTCTCACTTACCCACTGTCTCTTTGCTTGGCTGGCTATTCTCATCCTTCAGATCTTGGCTGAAATGTCACCATTTACCCTAACCAGGCTGTAGGCCCTTCTCTATAATTCTCTAGCACTGAACTATATTCATTTTCCTTCATCACAGATCACCATTTATAATACACATTTGTTATTTACATCTTTATTATCTGCCTCCTTCTGGAGACTGAAAGTTCCACAAGGTTAGTAATAATTTACATCCGTTACTGACCGATATGAGACCTAACACCTACCACAGAGCATGGTATAGAATAGGCAATCAGTATTTGATGAATAAATGATTTTATTCTATAAAATTCCAAGCCATTAAAAACACAGAGAAAATAGTATCATGAATTCCTGTGTATTCCTCATCCAGCCTCCACAAGTATCAATGCATAGCTGATCTTATTTTTTTTAATACTCTCACCCACTTCTCCCAGTCTGTAGCAAAGCAAATCCCAGATAGCATTAACACTTTATCCATAGATATTCCTTTATGTATCTCTAAAAGACATATTCCTCTACTCCTAAAAGACTTTTTAAAAAAACAATGTCATTATCCTATCTAAAACATAAATAATTCCTTTCCATCAACATTTAGTCAATGTTGAAATTTCCCCAATTAACTCAATTTTTTTTCAGTTTCTTTGTTAAATCTGGATCTAACACACTGCAATGGGCTTATATGTCAAGTCTTCTCTGATCTATAGATTCCCTCTCCTTTTCTTTCCCTACTTGTTAAAAAAATGGGTTGTCAAATGGTGTTGGGAAAATTGGACAGCCACATGCAGAAGAATGAAACTGGACCATTTCCTTACACCACACACAAAAATAGACTCCAAATGGTTGAA